TTGCATAAATAAAAAATTAGACCTGCAAAGTGACAAGAAGCTTACCTTGATACAGAGAAATCTGGCGTAACCTTCCATATTACTTACATCCCATGAAATGGAATCATGATAAGATCCACACAAATCACACGTATTGGAACTCATATTAATGAAGAAAAAATAGAAACATACAATATGTAACTTGGTAACCGGGTTATACCCCTGGAGATGTCCATTACCGACACACAAAGTATATAATATGTACCGTGTTAAAAAAAAAAAAAAAAAACACGTTCGAAGCTTATATTTTTCCATCTCTCATCAGATAGTCACCATTTAAAGGAGTGTCATCAAACAGTCTGCGTTTTCTACCATCATTTAGAATAATTTAAAGTTTCCCGTCCACACTATAAGTATTTCTAACACATTCTAGTCTGTAGGCCTCTCTGAGTCGATCCTGGTTTCTTTGAGTGAGATCCTCGAAGATAGCGATTCCAGTACCCTTCAGAAGTCATCTGTTCCTCAGAATCTCATGTTTCTTTGTTCAGCGGGTGAACTTGACAATGATGCCTCTCTTCTTGCCTCTGACTAACTTCCCCAATCTGTGAGCGATATCTATGTCATTACCACTGAGTGCCAACTTAAGTTTCGAGTTAACAAGACTGGTCACTTTTTCTTGCACTCCTCAACTGTCTCTTTCTCTGACGGATCATCCAAACCGAAGATACGAACTGAATTTTTCTGCCCCTGTTGTTCAAGGTTGTTGTATCTACTGTTCGCTTCCTTCTGTGCTTCCTGAAGTTCCATACACATAGTTTCTAGGTTTCCAACAGTCTGTCGGAGTTCCTCATTTTCTTTCTCGAGTTGAAATATTCTCCCTTCATACTTATCCAACAATTCACGATTCTCCTTCCGAATATCCTCCTTTAGTCTAGCAAACTTCTCCTCCATCGTATCTGTGACTTGTTCTATCTTTTTGTCCATTTCGGTTTTTGTCACAGTATTGGAGATCATCGCTGTAATTTCCTCTAATCTTTCCTCTGTCGCCTTAACGGCACTCGAACTACAACTTCTTTCTCCTGTTTTACCCATGGTCAGATCAAAGTCAATAGTGGTGGTAAAACATAGGTACAGTCTGGCCTGTGCAGGTGAAAACCACACAGGTACTAATTCATTGTTTGTTTTTCAAAGGTTCTAAAAGTCACTTTTTGATGCAAGAAAGACAAACATTCCAAGGTAGAAATGGTCCCAAACACATTAAACACACACTGACCAAAACCAAGATAGATAACGTCTTTAGTATTCAAAAAAAGACATAATTTTCCGGAGCAAAAAAATTGGTGGACATGTCCAGTCGTGTGACCTTGACCGTCCACAATAATCATTCTTGGCCTAGGTAAATAAAACAATTACCATTCCACTCCTAGGTGAATATAACAATTATCATTCCAGACCTAGGTAAATATAACAATTATCATTCCACTCCTAGGTAAATATAACAATTACCATTCCACTCCTAGGTGAATATGACAATTATCATTCCAGGCCTAGGTAAATATAACAATTATCATTCCAGACCTAGGTAAATATAACAATTATCATTCCAGGCCTAGGTAAATATAACAATTATCATTCCAGGCCTAGGTAAATATAACAATTATCATTCCAGGCCTAGGTAAATATAACAATTACCATTCCAGACCTAGGTAAATATAACAATTATCATTCCAGACCTAGGTAAATATAACAATTATCATTCCAGGCCTAGGTAAATATAACAATTATCATTCCACTCCTAGGTAAATATAACAATTATCATTCCAGACCTAGGTAAATATAACAATTATCATTCCAGACCTAGGTAAATATAACAATTATCATTCCAGGCCTAGGTAAATATAACAATTATCATTCCACTCCTAGGTAAATATAACAATTATCATTCCAGGCCTAGGTAAATATAACAATTATCATTCCAGACCTAGGTAAATATAACAATTATCATTCCAGACCTAGGTAAATATAACAATTATCATTCCAGGCCTAGGTAAATATAACAATTATCATTCCACTCCTAGGTAAATATAACAATTATCATTCCAGGCCTAGGTAAATATAACAATTATCATTCCAGACCTAGGTAAATATAACAATTACCATTCCAGGCCTAGGTAAATATAACAATTATCATTCCACTCCTTGGTATATATAACAATTATCATTCCAGGCCTATGTAAATTTATCAAATATCATTCCTGGCTTAGTATGTTGATATCAAAGTAGGTTACTCTGACCTTAGGTTTGACCTGTGACCCACATAAAAATAAGCTTATTCTGGCCCTATCTTCTACACTTTTATTCGTGGAAATGCTTGGAATGTGGACTCACTTTGGTGAGACCGTGTGTAAAGTATCAAAGGTAGGTCATTCTTACTTATAATCTTGTCTTTGATCTACATCAAGGAATAAGATTATGCAGGCCCTATGTTCTACACAAATAATCACGAGAACTGTAAACTTAGGATATGTTTCAGTGTGTCGAGGGACTGTTATACCTGGACAGAATATTGGACTGTGTCATGTCGAGGGACTGTTATACCTGGACAGAATATTGGACTGTGTCATGTCGAGGGACTGTTATACCTGGACAGAATATTGGACTGTGTCATGTCGAGGGACTGTTATACCTGGACATAATATTGGACTGAGTCATGTCGAGGGACTGTTATACCTGGACTGTGTCATGTCGAACTGTTATTGGACAGAATGTGTGTCATGTCGAGGGACTGTTATACCTGGACAGAATATTGGACTGTGTCATGTCGAGGGACTGTTATACCTGGACAGAATATTGGACTGTGTCATGTCGAGGGACTGTTATACCTGGACAGAATATTGGACTGTGTCATGTCGAGGGACTGTTATACCTGGACAGAATATTGGACTGTGTCATGTCGAGGGACTGTTATACCTGGACAGAATATTGGACTGTGTCTGTGTCATGTCGAGGGACTGTTATACCTGGACAGAATATTGGACTGTGTCATGTCGAGGGACTGTTATACCTGGACAGAATATTGGACTGTGTCATGTCGAGGGACTGTTATACCTGGACAGAATATTGGACTGTGTCATGTCGAGGGACTGTTATACCTGGACAGAATATTGGACTGTGTCATGTCGAGGGACTGTTATACCTGGACAGAATATTGGACTGTGTCATGTCGAGGGACTGTTATACCTGGACAGAATATTGGACTGTGTCATGTCGAGGGACTGTTATACCTGGACAGAATATTGGACTGTGTCATGTCGAGGGACTGTCGAGGGACTGTTATACCTGGACAGAATATTGGACTGTGTCATGTCGAGGGACTGTTATACCTGGACAGAATATTGGACTGTGTCATGTCGAGGGACTGTTATACCTGGACAGAATATTGGACTGTGTCATGTCGAGGGACTGTTATACCTGGACAGAATATTGGACTGTGTCATGTCGAGGGACTGTTATACCTGGACAGAATATTGGACTGTGTCATGTCGAGGGACTGTTATACCTGGACAGAATATTGGACTGTGTCATGTCGAGGGACTGTTATACCTGGACAGAATATTGGACTGTGTCATGTCGAGGGACTGTTATACCTGGACAGAATATTGGACTGTGTCATGTCGAGGGACTGTTATACCTGGACAGAATATTGGACTGTGTCATGTCGAGGGACTGTTATACCTGGACAGAATATTGGACTGTGTCATGTGTCATGTCGAGGGACTGTTATACCTGGACAGAATATTGGACTGTGTCATGTCGAGGGACTGTTATACCTGGACAGAATATTGGACTGTGTCATGTCGAGGGACTGTTATACCTGGACAGAATATTGGACTGTGTCATGTCGAGGGACTGTTATACCTGGACAGAATATTGGACTGTGTCATGTCGAGGGACTGTTATACCTGGACAGAATATTGGACTGTGTCATGTCGAGGGACTGTTATACCTGGACAGAATATTGGACTGTGTCATGTCGAGGGACTGTTATACCTGGACAGAATATTGGACTGTGTCATGTCGAGGGACTGTTATACCTGGACAGAATATTGTGTCACCTGGACTGTTATACCTGACAGAATATTGGACTGTGTCATGTCGAGGGACTGTTATACCTGGACAGAATATTGGACTGTGTCATGTCGAGGGACTGTTATACCTGGACAGAATATTGGAATGTGTCATGTCGAGGTCATGTCGAGGGACTGTTATACCTGGACAGAATATTGGACTGTGTCATGTCGAGGGACTGTTATACCTGGACAGAATATTGGACGGTGTCATGAATTAACAAAGTCATACCTTTACCTGTCATACCTTTACCTGGACAGAATATTGGACTGTGTCATGTCGAGGGACTGTTATACCTGGACAGAATATTGGACGGTGTCATGAATTAACAAAGTCATACCTTTACCTGGACAGAATATTGGACGGTGTCATGAATTAACAAAGTCATACCTTTACCTGGACAGAATATTGGACTGTGTCATGAATTAACAAAGTCATACCTTTACCTGGACAGAATATTGGACTGTGTCATGAATTAACAAAGTCATACCTTTACCTGGACAGAATATTGGACTGTGTCATGAATTAACAAAGTCATACCTTTACCTGGACAGAATATTGGACTGTGTCATGAATTAACAAAGTCATACCTTTACCTGGACAGAATATTGGACTGTGTCATGAATTAACAAAGTCATACCTTTACCTGGACAGAATATTGGACTGTGTCATGAATTAACAAAGTCATACCTTTACCTGTACAGAATATTGGACTGTGTCATGAATTAACAAAGTCATACCTTTACCTGTACAGAATATTGGACTGTGTCATGAATTAACAAAGTCATACCTTTACCTGGACAGAATATTGGACTGTGTCATGAATTAACAAAGTCATACCTTTACCTGTACAGAATATTGGACTGTGAAATGATCTGTTTCATCTGTTTCAGGGATCTGCTCTGAAATACCTCTGTTCTGCTATACCTGACATCATGCATGTGTTTGACCCTCTTGAACTCAGGTATGCCACTCTCACATTGAATTATTTATATATGTGAATCCTTCAGAGAGCTGAGAAAAGTTTGTCATACATTTTATTAGTCCAACATTATCCGATCATCAGACATCAGTTTGTCATATGTTTAATTGAGTACCTGACGTCAACTTTCAAGAGCAGAAATGGGTTTGTCATATGAGTAATTGTGTACATGTCAACTTCGAAGAGCTCAGATTGTACCTATAGATATTTTGTGTGTGAAGGAACAGTCTTAAAAATGGAGAACTTTGTGAACATTTACTGATTTTACATTCGATTTCAGTGAATTGATGGTAGAATTTATCAACAATGTGCCAAAGGACCGACTACGAAAACAGAAGTTGAAGTGTATAGATGATCTAGTACATAGTGTGTTGTTCAAATCCCCAGGTTAGTTTTTATAGTAAATGCTGTTTTAATTTACAACAATAAATATATATAGTAAATGCTACATTATAGTTCCCAATAGTAACTGTTTTTGTTATGGGGGTAAGTTTCTGTAGTAAATGTTGGTTGAATTACCAGGTTAGCATTTATATCACTGTATTTTCCAGATTATAAGCCACACCTTTTCCCCTTAATAGTCAGGCATAAGGTTAATATACCTGTGTAGCTTATATGTGGATGAAAAAAAATCTGCAGGAACAAAAAATAAATGGAAGCATACCAGTACACCAGTATGAGACAGTATACTCCTATAACATAAGAGGCCACCAGTATGAGACAGTATACTCCTATAACATAAGAGGCCACCAGTATGAGACAGTATACTCCTATAACATAAGAGGCCACCAGTATGAGACAGTATACTCCTATAACATAAGAGGCCACCAGTATGAGACAGTATACTCCTATAACATAAGAGGCCACCAGTATGAGACAGTATACTCCTATAACATAAGAGGCCACCAGTATGAGACAGTATACTCCTATAACATAAGAGGCCACCAGTATGAGACAGTATACTCCTATAACATAAGAGGCCACCAGTATGAGACAGTATACTCCTATAACATAAGAGGCCACCAGTATGAGACAGTATACATAACATAAGAGGCCACCAGTATGAGACAGTATACTCCTATAACATAAGAGGCCACCAGTATGAGACAGTATACTCCTATAACATAAGAGGCGGCTGGTCGGCCATTTTATCATCTGTCATTATCACCTTACCATGAATACACATGATTTAGGCTGTGGTATGTCCTATTAAAATACTTTTCAGTGTTTTATTGTAACTGAATCACTTAAATGAATATAAAAAAAAGAATTAAATGTAATATTTTGTAACCATGGTGATGTGTTTCATTGCCATCATGTCTTGTTACTGTCTCAATATTGTGGCTATGAAGATCAAAGCAATTCATTTTAACAACAAATTGTTTTCTTGTTAACACAGAAATGAATGTTTAGCTTTAAATAGATATCTTTTAGCCATGAAGATATGTTGTATTGTCAGAGCATCTAGCCTTGGTAGTGTATTATAGTGTCACAGTGTCTGGTAATCATACAGATGGATTGTAGTGTCACTATATTTGGTAAACATGGAGATGTATTGTGTCACTGTGTTTGGTAACCATGGAGATCATTGTTACAGATTGTCGTGCTATCTTGCTGCCTATGATCCTGAATCACACTGGCTCATTACTTGAGAACCAGGAGGAACTAGAGGATTGTGTAGATGTGCTCAGTGATGTGATGAATCAGATGCATGATAAGACTACAGTGAGTACCTCCTCCTACGATTACTCTCAATCCCTCCTCAATGCAAATCCACCTTTTTCCCTCATTCTCCACTTTCTCCTCAAATGTACCCCTGTTCTTGTCCTTCCTTCAATCTGTCATTGTCCCTCCTTGCCTACCTGTCTTCTAACCCCATGTAATACCCTGCTGTCCTCCATTTTCACAGTCTACTGATATTCTCTGACTCTATACTGTCCTATACTTATCTACCTCTTTTGCCTTGTTACTTATGAACTTTGAAATCGAAATATTTGGAAGCATAGTAACAGAGATTTTTTTTTGTGTAAATATCCAGGTTCCTCACACCAATGATATTGATTTGATCATGAAGATGAACCTGAGGATTGTGATCCGCTCAGCTGTGTGTATGGACAAGACGTCAAAAGAAGCGGTATGTTGTACAACATTGTTATTCATCACATGAACATTAATACAGCTAGTGGTTCAGGATTATCATACTTTTATATTCTAGGCTGCACAAAATTTCTAGGAAATGATCTATGTGTATTGTTTTAGTGTTAGGACACAATTCATAGGTATTGTTTTAGTGTTAGGACACAATTCATAGGTATTGTTTTAGTGTTAGGACACAATTCATAGGTATTGTTTTAGGGCAAGGTCACAATTCATAGGTATTGTTTTAGTGTTAGGACATAATTCATAGGTATTGTTTTAGTGTTAGAACACAATTCATAGGTATTGTTTTAGGGCAAGGTCACAATTCATAGGTATTGTTTTAGTGTTAGGATACAATTCATAGGTATTGTTTTAGGGCAAGGACACAATTCATAGGTATTGTTTTAGTGTTAGGACACAATTCATAGGTATTGTTTTAGGGCAAGGTCACAATTCATAGGTATTGTTTTAGTGTTAGGACACAATTCATAGGTATTGTTTTAGTGTTAGAACACAATTCATAGGTATTGTTTTAGTGTTAGAACACAATTCATAGGTATTGTTTTAGGGCAAGGTCACAATTCATAGGTATTGTTTTAGTGTTAGAACACAATTCATAGGTATTGTTTTAGGGCAAGGACACAATTCATAGGTATTGTTTTAGTGTTAGAACACAATTCATAGGTATTGTTTTAGGGCAAGGACACAATTCATAGGTATTGTTTTAGTGTTAGAACACAATTCATAGGTATTGTTTTAGTGTAAGGACACAATTCATAGGTATTGTTTTAGTGTTAGAACACAATTCATAGGTATTGTTTTAGTGTTAGAACACAATTCATAGGTATTGTTTTAGGGCAAGGTCACAATTCATAGGTATTGTTTTAGGGCAAGGACACAATTCATAGGTATTGTTTTAATGTTAGAACACAATTCATAGGTATTGTTTTAGTGTAAGGACACAATTCATAGGTATTGTTTTAATGTTAGGACACAATTCATAGGTATTGTTTTAGTGTTAGAACACAATTCATAGGTATTGTTTTAGTGTTAGGACACAATTCATAGGTATTGTTTTAGGGCAAGGACACAATTCATAGGTATTGTTTTAGGGCAAGGACACAATTCATAGGTATTGTTTTAATGTTAGAACACAATTCATAGGTATTGTTTTAGTGTTAGAACACAATTCATAGGTATTGTTTTAGGGCAAGGACACAATTCATAGGTATTGTTTTAATGTTAGAACACAATTCATAGGTATTGTTTTAGGGCAAGGACACAATTCATAGGTATTGTTTTAGTGTTAGCACACAATTCATAGGTATTGTTTTAGGGCAAGGACACAATTCATAGGTATTGTTTTAATGTTAGAACACAATTCATAGGTATTGTTTTAGTGTTAGAACACAATTCATAGGTATTGTTTTAGTGTTAGGACACAATTCATAGGTATTGTTTTTGGGCAAGGACACAATTCATAGGTATTGTTTTAATGTTAGAACACAATTCATAGGTATTGTTTTAGGGCAAGGACACAATTCATAGGTATTGTTTTAATGTTAGAACACAATTCATAGGTATTGTTTTAGGGCAAGGTCACAATTCATAGGTATTGTTTTAGTGTTAGGACACAATTCATAGGTATTGTTTTAGTGTTAGAACACAATTCATAGGTATTGTTTTAGGGCAAGGTCACAATTCATAGGTATTGTTTTAGGGCAAGGTCACAATTCATAGGTATTGTTTTAGTGTTAGAACACAATTCATAGGTATTGTTTTAGGGCTAGGACACAATTCTTAAGTATTGTTTGAGGGTTAGGACACAATTCATATGTAATGTTTTAGGGCAAGGACACAATTCATATGTAATGTTTTAGGGCAAGGACACAATTCATATGTATTGTTTTAGGGCGAGGACACAATTCATAGGTATTGTTTTAGGGCTAGGCGACAGTGACAGGGCTAGGAGACAATTCATATGTATTGTTTTAGGGCAAGGACACAATTCATATGTATTGTTTTAGGGCGAGGACACAATTCATATGTATTCTTTTAGCGCGAGGACACAATTCATATGTATTGTTTTAGGGCAAGGACACAATTCATATGTATTGTTTTAGGGCTAGGCGACAGTGACAGGGCTAGGAGACAATTCATATGTATTGTTTTAGGGCAAGGACACAATTCATATGTATTGTTTTAGGGCGAGGACACAATTCATATGTATTGTTTTAGGGCGAGGACACAATTCATATGTATTGTTTTAGGGCGAGGACACAATTCATATTTATTGTTTTAGGGCAAGGACACAATTCATATGTATTGTTTTAGGGCTAGGCGACAGTGACAGGGCTAGGAGACAATTCATATGTATTGTTTTAGGGCAAGGACACAATTCATATGTATTGTTTTAGGGCAAGGACACAATTCATATGTATTGTTTTAGGGCGAGGACACAATTCATATGTATTGTTTTAGGGCTAGTTTTAAATTAAAACATCCATCCAAATGTCTTCTTTATGTTTCCTAATGAGTGCCCTGAACTCCTAACTATTTGAAAAAAATTAGAATAAATTGTTAACATGTCTAGTTCTTTTTATTGTGTTCCACACATGAAACATGTAATATGAAGTAAAAATATGATATTACTACTGCCATTTACAAATGACAGTAGTTTATATTTGAAATTATTACATTGTCTTATAGGACTTACTAACAATTTCTTACTATATTAAATATTTCTTTTATTACCTAGTTAATCCCAATGATTTTTTCCTTTGTACTTTCTCAAATACTATTGATTTTTTAAAAATCAGCTGTTTTACAGGCATAAATCTCACCTTTTTTTTTCTGACCCCTGACTTTGTCTCACTAACATTTTACAGTCATTTCAAGAGAAACTTAAGGTAGAGCACCTTTTTCTTCCTTTTTCTTCCTCCTGCATGGAGGACCATTACTGATTCTGTATGTGCAATACAATTTGATATGAAAGCAAACTCTGTCTTTAGAATGCTTCATGGCTATATAGTAAAATGGTCACCCCTCCTATTTTGTACATAAGCGCTTGTCTAAAAAGACCTCACATTTTATCAGTACAGTAGAAACTGTGTAAACAGACCACACATTGCCTCAGTACAAAAGAACATGATTAATTGGACCACATATTTTGTAGTACAATAAAACCTATCTAAAAGGACCACACTATGTCTCAGTACAATAAATCATGGTTAAAAGGACTACACATTGTGTCAGTATAATGGAACTTGTCTAAAGAGACCAAATATTGTCTCAGTATAATAGAACATGTCTAAAAGGACTACACAGTGCCCCAGTAAAAAAGAACCTGTCTATAAACCTTGTCTAAATACAGTAGAATCTATCTCAAAAGACCAAACATTGTCTCAATACAATAAAACCTGTCTAAAATGGCAACACACTGCCCCTGTACAATAGAACCTGTCTAAAAGCACCATACTATGTCTCAGTAGAATAGACCATGTCTAAAAGGATTACACGGTGCCCCAGTACAAAAGAACCTTCTAAAAAGACCACACTTTGTCTCAATACAGTGTAGAATCTGTCTAAAAAGACCACACTTTGTCTCAATACAGAAGAACCATGTCTTCAAGGATTACTCTTGGCCCCTATACAATAGAACCTATCTAAAAGGACCACACTGTGTAACAATTGCACCTGTCTAAAAAGACCACACTATGTCTCAATAAAGTAGAATCTGTCTAAAAGCAGCACACTATGTGTCAGTACAATCTAAAGGACTGCACTTGTCTCGGTGCAATAGTCTTATGTTATTGTCAGTTCAATGAAGCTCTGAAAAAGCACCCTTTCTTTCAATAGACACCAGTTTCTGAATACCATCAGTCAGTATATAGAAAGCTTAGGAAGCATGGGACAAAACCTAGAGAGCTTTAAAGTGATAAATACCATGATTATCTTTACACAAGTCTACTCTAGCCATTTCTCTTTGCATGTATATATATACTCATATTTAACAATCATGTTACTTTCAGAGAAGAACTGAGGTAAGAATTTCACACCTAGCTGTATATTTGTGGTATATATGGCAAGCAAGTTCATTCTTTGGCGGCATTAGATTAGTGTCACTGAACTCTAGACCAAGATTAACAGCTGTAGTAACTGCTTAACCAGCATGCCTTCTTTTTCTGCTTCTCCTATAAAACATCTCATTTCTTAAATATTGATAATGTAATTTGTTGTCCTTCATTTGAGTCTTTTCTAATTTTCAAAAGATTTTTCTTTGTCATTTACCAGGTAAATTTTCTTTCTAGATTTGGTCAACGGAGGAAATATGTTAAAAAACACATTAGTTGTTCATTACTAGGTAAATGAGGCAAAGCACTGCTAAATGTTTACAATAGTCAACAAGACACATATTGGATATAATTAGGGTGCATAAATCAAAGTAAGTCAGATTTTCAGATTTTAAACAACTCACCTTTCCCTGTTTTCAGATGAAATTTTGTCAAATTTTAAAAATTTGCATGAATTCATTCAAATTGATTTCCATATCTAAGTTATAAACACAACTTAAAATGACCGCCTGTCAAAGAAATTATACAGCAAAGCTTAAGAGATTGTGTGGATATTTATCTCGTGTTTTACTTTAGAGCAACTAATTCTGAAAACTTTATAGCCATAATCAGGTAACTGATTCTATAGTCTAATCATAATTTTCTGATTGCGTAGTCTATGATCATGATTGACTGGTTTTGTGTATGATCATTAGTACGTATTAGATCTCACAGTTTATGATCAGTATGGGGTATAACTGAATGTTGACTTGAAGATATAAAGTGACTGTTGGTATTTCTTTATTTATGTTCACGAGACTGAACAGATCTGCTTTCAAACTACCTATGTGTATACAATAAATATACTGGATATTAGATGTTTTACAGTGAATGTAGTGGTGTGTTACCTAGACACAGTAATGGTGGTTCTGTTATACCGATAAAGAGCTTTTTTGTGCATTATGTTTATGATGTCATGTTTGATATTTGTTTTATATTATCAAATGTTGAACCATAATGTGAAAGTATTAAGTTATAGAAATAATAATTCAAACACTATTTACATGGACAAATTGTGATTTTTGAGCAGGCTTTGTTAACATATATGCTAACTAGTTATACCCTGATCATATGTCTGTTTTCTGAGTGTGAAGGATGGGGCACAATTGCCATGTGTTTTTGTGAGTTTCAAGGTAATATCTGTTATCTGCCTAACAAAGCAAGTTCATTTGAGGTAATTACTACATGTGGGAAGGTTTTAGGTCACAACGAGAAGACAGAGAAGTCATGGGGATTGAAAAGAAATGACCATTGGTCATAAGTAATAAATTAGTGGTTAGAGGCTACTTGAATACTTAGAGGTCAAAAGAAAAGTAAGGGCCAAACAGATGAGTTAAAGATTAAAAGAAAAAGATAGAGGTCAAAAGAAATAGTTGGTAGTGAAAAAATAGAGGTAAAACGAAATAGTTAGAGGTGAAAAAATAAAAGTGAAAAGGAATAGTTAGAGGTGAAAAAGTAGAGGTAAAAAGGAATAGAGGTCAAAAGTAGAGGTCAAAAGAAATAGTTCGAGGTGAAAAAGTAGAGGTCAAAAGGAATAGAGGTCAAAAGTAGAGGTCAAAAGAAATAGTTAGAGGTGAAAAAGTAGAGGTAAAAAGGAAAAGTTAGAGGTCAAAAGTAGAGGTCAAAAGAAATAGTTAGAGGTGAAAAAGTAGAGGTCAAAAGGAACAGTTAGAGGTCAAAAGTAGAGGTCAAAAGAAATAGTTAGAGGTGAAAAAGTAGAAGTAAAAAGGAATAGTTAGAGGTCAAAAGTAGAGGTCAAAAGAAATAGTTAGAGGTGAAAAAGTAGAGGTAAAAAGGAATAGTTAGAGGTCAAAAGTAGAGGTCAAAAGAAATAGTTAGAGGTCAAAAAGGAATAGTTAGAGGTCAAAAGTAGTGGTCAAAAGAAATAGTTAGAGGTCAAAAGTAGAGGTCAAAAGAAATAGTTAGAAGTGAAAATGATGAAGGTAAAAAGGAATAGTTAGAGGTAAGAAATAGGAATAAGTAAGGTGTATAAGGTACTGATGAAATATTGAATTTGTATTCATAATTCACAAGAAGTATTGTTTTATATAAGGTTTAAGGTGAAATAGATGAAACAGAGATAACAAACAGGCAGTTTATTTGTTAAAAGGATGAAGGTTGAACATCACATATTGAGTGATAAGAAGTAAAGACAATCAGGGTTAAAGGTCACACAGACAGAGATGAATTAAGACAAGAAGTATTAGGGTGTTTGCATTGTCAAGGGTACAGGGATATATAAGTATGTGTGACAGGTATGCATGCTTGTCTCTGGTGTTTACAGTTCCTGTCCATGTTATCATTGTTGTAACACTATGGCTGCTTATGTAAACCATGTAATGTTTTAGATGATGTGTAGGATCATTACAGTTAAAACATTCATTTATTACAATAATCAAAACACTAAAGAAGATAGAAATTAGAAAACATTTGAATCAAAGTTAGGAAGGTGTTGTAATTGTTTTTGTGCATGCATGTTGTGGTTTTTGTTTACACTAAGATCAAACATTACAGTGTTTAATCTTACAGAGCACCAGCAAACATTCAGTGAAGTGTTTTACTGTTTGAAAATTTCTAGTTGACATATCATGTATTACTCAATCAGGTTTATTTCTAAAAATTTACACACTGGTTGATCTAGTTAATGTATCTTAATAGGTGGCTCATTGTCAGGTGTAGTTATAACACTGTACTCCTGACGTAACAATCTATTGATGGTATATATATATGTCAGCACTAAATACATGTACACTGCATCATAAGACCAGGTACCAACTTCTTAGTGCATAATTACTAGGATAATGAAGTAACTTTGGTTTGGAAGTTTTGGATAGGCATATTACAGGATAACCCTGATTTATAATTCTACAGAACAGTATTATATTAGGGCGGGCATATTACAGGAAATTGGAATAACCCTGGTTTATAATTCTACAGGACAGTATTATATTAGGGTGGGCATATTACAGGAAATTGGAATAACCCTGGTTTATAATTCTACAGGACAGTATTATATTAGGGCGGGCATATGGAATAACCCTGGTTTATAATTCTACAGGACAGTATTATATTAGGGCGGGCATATTACAAGACAATGGAATAACCCTGGTTTATAATTCTACAGGACAGTATTATATTAGGGCGGGCATATTACAAGACAATGGAATAACCCTGGTTTATAATTCTACAGGACAGTATTATATTAGGGCAGATATATTACAGGAAATTGGAATAACCCTGGTTTATAATTCTATAGAACATTATTATATTAGGGCGGATGTATCACAGGAAATTGGAATAATCCTGGTTTATAATTCTACAGGACAGTATTATATTAGGGCAGATATATTACAGGAAATTGGAATAACCCTGGTTTATAATTCTATAGAACATTATTATATTAGGGCGGATGTATCACAGGAAATTGGAATAATCCTGGTTTATAATTCTACAGGACAGTATTATATTAGGGCAGATATATTACAGGAAATTGGAATAACCCTGGTTTATAATTCTATAGAACATTATTATATTAGGGCGGATGTATCACAGGATATTGAAATAACATTAGTCAATAATTTTTGACTTATTACCAGGCATGAAGTTATTGCTGGAGAAGTGAAGTATGTATGTTACAGCTGATAGAAAACTCCGATAATGCTTTTGGATATATAGTTAGGTCTAGTTATGCCATCTTGGACATATATACAAGTCCATGGAGACTAGGTCTTTTGCTAGGGCTAATCAGTTGTAAGTTGTGTAGAAGATCTCACAACAATATGTACTTTTGTGCTTGCATTGACTGCAGGCATCTAAATTAACTTGAGAAAAAAAATTTAATTTGGGGACATATTAATGTGTGAAGAAGATAAGAGTTTCATTAACACTCTTATTTTCCCCTTTCAGCACCCATTCACCTCCCAAATTGAGACCCTATACTTCCTTCAAAATCCCTTCACCTCCCCATTTGGGACCCTATTCTTCCTTCAGGATCCAGTTACCTCCCCCTGTGGGACTCAATATTTCCTTCAGGAACTCTTCCCTCCCCATTGGGACCTTATACATCCTTCAGGAATCCTTCATCTCCCCATACTGACCCTATCCTTCCTTTAAGATCCCTTCACCTCCCATGATGGGATGGTATACTTCCTTCAGGATCCCTTCACCTCCCCCTTTGGGAAACCTGTTCTTCCTTCAAGAACCCTTAACCTCTTTCATTGTGACTCCTATATTTTATTCTGGTTCCCCCCTATTATGACCCCTATATTTTTTTCAGGAACCATTCACCTCTCTCATTGTGACCCCAAATACTTCCTTCAGGATTCCTTTATCTCCCCCATTGGAACCCCTATTTTTGTACCTTTTCTTTATGTCTGATCACAAATGCAGGGTCTGTATCTCTTTCCTGATATTAATATTCTTGTTTGTCTGTCCTGTCTTCTTGTCAGTTCGGTTTATCTATAGCCTGAGTGATATGTCTGTCTGTATTGTCTTTTACCTGATTTGTCTGTCCTATCATTCAAACAGAGTCGGTGTGTGGCTGTGCTATTGTCCATACTGAGAAAGATGACGGAGAACCACTACCTGAACTACATCCGTGAGTTTTCTTTCCTCACCGACCTCCAGGACTTTCTGATGGAGATCCTTACATTATTCCAAGTCCTTATCAAAGAAAACGTATTTGCATCTGACTGGCTGGCAATGAACATGCTGCAGAACAGGTAAGTAAATATCTGCTGATAACACTAAAACAGATTACTGGTGATAATGAAACAGGAAAACAGATTACTGGTGATAGCACAACAGGAAACAGATTACTGGTGATAGTGTAACAGGAAAACAGATGACTGGTGATAGTGTAACAGGAAACAGATTACTGGTGATAGTGAAACAGGAAACAGATTACTGGTGAAAGTGTAACAGGAAACAGATTACTGGTGATAGTGAAACAGGAAACAGATTACTGGTGATAGTGTAACAGGAAACAGATGACTGGTGATAGCGTAACAGGAAAACAGATTACTGTTGATAGTGTAACAGGAAACAGATTACTGGTGATAGTGTAACAGGAAAACAGATAACTGGTGATAGTGTAACAGGAAACAGATTACTGGTGATAGTGAAACAGGAAAACAGATGACTGGTGATAGCATTACAGGAAACAGATTACTGGTGATAGCGTTACAGGAAACAGATTACTGGTGATAGTGTAACAGGAAAACAGATTACTGGTGATAGTGTAACAGGAAAACAGGTTACTGGTGATAGCACAACAGGAAACAGATGACTGGTGATAGCGTTACAGGAAACAGATTACTGGTGATAGCATTACAGGAAACAGATTACTGGTGATAGTGTAACAGGAAAACAGATTACTGGTGATAGTGTAACAGGACACAGATGACTGGTGATAGTGTAACAGGAAAACAGGTTACTGGTGATAGCACAACAGGAAACAAATGACTGGTGATAGCGTTACAGGAAACAGATTACTGGTGATAGCGTTACAGGAAACAGATTACTGGTGATAGCGTTACAGGAAACAGATTACTGGTGATAGTGTAACAGGAAAACAGATTACTGGTGATAGTGAAACAGGAAAACAGATTACTGGTGATAATGAAACAGGAAAACAGATTACTGGTGATAGCACAACAGGAAACAGATTACTGGTGATAGTGTAACAGGAAAACAGATGACTGGTGATAGTGTAACAGGAAACAGATGACTGGTGATAGTGTAACAGGAAACAGATGACTGGTGATAGTGTAACAGGAAACAGATGACTGGTGATAGTGTAACAGGAAACAGATGACTGGTGATAGTGTAACAGGAAACAGATTACTGGTGATAGTGTAACAGGAAACAGATTACTGGTGATAGTGAAACAGGAAACAGATTACTGGTGAAAGTGTAACAGGAAACAGATTACTGGTGATAGTGAAACAGGAAACAGATTACTGGTGAAAGTGTAACAGGAAACAGATGACTGGTGATAGCGTAACAGGAAAACAGATTACTGTTGATAGTGTAACAGGAAACAGATTACTGGTGATAGTGTAACAGGAAAACAGATAACTGGTGATAGTGTAACAGGAAACAGATTACTGGTGATAGTGAAACAGGAAAACAGATGACTGGTGATAGCATTACAGGAAACAGATTACTGGTGATAGCGTTACAGGAAACAGATTACTGGTGATAGTGTAACAGGAAAACAGATTACTGGTGATAGTGTAACAGGAAAACAGGTTACTGGTGATAGCACAACAGGAAACAGATGACTGGTGATAGCGTTACAGGAAACAGATTACTGGTGATAGTGAAACAGGAAAACAGATGACTGGTGATAGCGTTACAGGAAACAGATTACTGGTGATAGCGTTACAGGAAACAGATTACTGGTGATAGTGTAACAGGAAAACAGATTACTGGTGATAGTGTAACAGGAAACAGATGACTGGTGATAGTGTAACAGGAAAACAGGTTACTGGTGATAGCACAACAGGAAACAAATGACTGGTGATAGCGTTACAGGAAACAGATTACTGGTGATAGCGTTACAGGAAACAGATTACTGGTGATAGCGTTACAGGAAACAGATTACTGGTGATAGTGTAACAGGAAAACAGATTACTGGTGATAATGAAACAGGAAAACAGGTTACTGGTGATAGTGAAACAGGAAAACAGGTTACTGGTGATAGCACAACAGGAAACAGATTACTGGTGATAGTGTAACAGGAAACAGATAACTGGTGATAGTGTAACAGGAAACAGATGACTGGTGATAGTGTAACAGGAAACAGATTACTGGTGATAGTGTAACAGGAAAACAGATTACTGGTGATAGTGAAACAGGAAAACAGGTTACTGGTGATAGTGTAACAGGAAACAGATTACTGGTGATAGTGTAACAGGAAACAGGTTACTGGTGATAGTGTAACAGGAAACAAATTACTGGTGATAGTGTAACAGGAAAACAGATTACTGGTGATAGTGTAACAGGAAACAGATTACTGGTGATAGTGTAACAGGAAACAGATTACTGGTGATAGTGTAACAGGAAACAGATTACTGGTGATAGTGAAACAGGTAACAGGAAAACAGATTACTGGTGATATTGTAACAGGAAAACAGATTACTGGTGATAGTGTAACAGGAAACAGATTACTGGTGATAGTGTAACAGGAAACAGGTTACTGGTGATAGTGAAACAGGAAAACAGGTTAATGGTGATAGCACAACAGGAAACAGATTACTGGTGATAGTGAAACAGGAAAACAGGTTAATGGTGATAGCACAACAGGAAACAGATTACTGGTGATATTGTAACAGGAAAACAGATTACTGGTGATAGTGTAACAGGAAAACAGATTACTGGTGATATTGTAACAGGAAAACAGATTACTGGTGATAGTGTAACAGGAAACAGATTACTGGTGATAGTGAAACAGGAAAACAGGTTAATGGTGATAGCACAACAGGAAACAGATTACTGGTGATAGTGTAACAGGAAAACAGATTACTGGTGATAGTGTAACAGGAAATGAGATTACTATTGATAGTGCTTTGTTCATTATATATAACATGTTATTATTGATGTAATTTGTTCTTTTATTATATTATGGTTAAAAACATCAGTTTTTATTTCCTTTTTGTGATATATTTGACAGCATCATTATCCGAGCCTTGAGGTTCTTCGCCCAGACAATCTGTGAGAAATTTACTACATCATTCGAGGAACAGGTAATTTCATCTGCAAGAGTGTATTAATGTCTTAATTCATAATTGATCATTGCCATTTGCTGGGTATTTTTCATTTGCAAGAAAATTGACTTAAATCTTGACAGTCCAAAGCTAAGTTTTAAACCCAGTGTGTGTAATTTTCGTAGTTTCTTTTAACAGTTTAAAGTCAATACCGTCTATTTTTCAGCTGTGGAGCTGTTTCTTCCATTGTGCAATAGCCTTCCTTACGCAGCGTCCGCTACAGCTAGAGCAGTTCTCAGTGTCCAAACGTAACAAAATTGTGTCAAGGTCAGTACATTGGAAGGTCAGATATGTCACAGGTTGTAAATATTTGTGATTGTGTAGAGGAATTTCTCAGTTGTAAAACTTGTTACATTTTGTTTGTGTTAGTCATTGCGATTTCATCTTAAATCCATTCCAAAGTCAGACTTGCAAAACTTTCCTGAAATGTTCTGGAAAAAAATGTTCTTAGTCAAATTTTATAATTAAAGTCAGGAATATCCGGCCTTTATGTACAATCAGTGGGTAATGTATATAGTGTATGTACATGGCCCTAAGAGCTGGTTCTGACAAAACAATGACTGATTATTAAAGCACACATTTGAATCTTTAAGACTTTTTACATGTTAATGCTACTTTCTGTAGGTACAGTGACATGCGGCGTGAAATGGGATTTGAAATACGCCAGATGTGGTCAAGATTAGGTGAGTGAATGGTTACTTTGGTTTCCAAGCTACTTAGCTTCTTGCTGTAATAGTTTTCAAGAACAAATTATTGAATTGATATTTGTTATCTACTGTTTGCAAAAACATATATGTAACATCACATCAAGATATCTTACATGTGTCTTTACATGTAAATCACTTTAATATCAGATGTAAACATTTTAAAAATTTAGGGATGTAAATTTTTACAACCATTACAAGTAATTAATGACAAGGCTGTATGTATACTTTTGTCTCATCACCAAGGGTAAATATTGATTAATACTCACATTGTGGTTGGTAAGCTATATCAGGAAACATTTTTTTTCCAGGTGTTAACAAGAAGTACTTCATACCTACTTTAGTGGAGCCTATCCTTGAAATGACATTGGTGCCAGAACTAGGTAACTCCTCTCTGACTTATCACACCAACATTCACAAGTTTTCAGCATACAATATAAATATTTTATTTTGTTTTTGTTTTTAATTTGTTTTCCTTTTGTTGTGACAGTTATTTTATTTTTCAGAACTAAGGAAAGCCACTATTCCTATCTTCTTTGACATGATGCAGTGTGAGTTTACACAAGTTGATCCAGTCACAAGAAAAATCAAAGGAAACTTTGACCAGGTGAGAAACTGTAAAGATGTTTGAGAGAGACTATACAGATGTTTGACCAGGTGAGAGACTTAAGAGATGTTTGACCGGGTTAGAAAGTATACAGATGTTTGACCAGGTTAGAAACTATACAGATGTTTGACCAGGTGAGAGAGTATACAGATGTTTGATCAGGTGAGAGAGTATACAGATGTTTGACCAGGTGAGAAATTATACAGATGTTTGACAAGGTGAGAGACTTAAGAGATGTTTGACCAGGTGAGAGAGTATACAGATGTTTGACCAGGTGAGAAACTATACAGATGTTTGACCAGGTGAGAGAGTATACAGATGTTTGACCAGGTGAGAAACTATACAGATGTTTGACCAGGTGAGAGAGTATACAGATGTTTGACCAGGTTAGAAACTATGCAGATGTATGACCTGGTGAGAGAGTATACCGATGTTTGACCAGGTTAGAAACTATACAGATGTTTGACCAGGTGAGAGAGTATACAGATGTTTGACCAGGTGAGAGAGTATACAGATGTTTGACCAGGTGAGAGACTTAAGAGATGTTTGACCAGGTTAGAAACTATACAGATGTTTGACCAGGTGAGACAGTATACAGATGTTTGACCAGGTTAGAAACTATACAGATGTTTGACCAGGTGAGAGAGTATACAGATATTTGACCAGGTGAGAGAGTATACAGATGTTTGACCAGGTTAGAAACTATACAGATGTTTGACCAGGTGAGAGAGTATACAGATGTTTGACCAGGTGAGAGAGTATACAGATGTTTGACCAGGTGAGAGACTTAAGAGATGTTTGACCAGGTGAGAGAGTATACAGATGTTTGACCAGGTGAGAGACTTAAGAGATGTTTGACCAGGTTAGAAACTATACAGATGTTTGACCAGGTGAGAGAGTATACAGATGTTTGACCAGGTGAGAGAGTATACAGATGTTTGACCAGGTGAGAGACTTAAGAGATGTTTGACCAGGTGAGAGAGTATACAGATGTTTGACCAGGTGAGAGACTTAAGAGATGTTTGACCAGGTTAGAAACTATACAGATGTTTGACCAGGTTAGAAACTATACAGATGTTTGACCAGGTGAGAGAGTATACAGATGTTTGACCAGGTGAGAGACTTAAGAGATGTTTGACCAGGTGAGAGAGTATACAGATGTTTGACCAGGTGAGAGAGTATACAGATGTTTGACCAGGTTAGAAACTATACAGATGTTTGACCAGGTGAGATAGTATACAGATGTTTGACAAGGTGAGAGAGTATACAGATGTTTGACCAGGTTAGAAACTATACAGATGTTTGACCAGGTGAGAGAGTATACAGATGTTTGACCAGGTTAGAAACTATACAGATGTTTGACCAGGTGAGAGAGTATACAGATGTTTGACCAGGTGAGAAATTATACAGATGTTTGACAAGGTGAGAGACTTAAGAGATGTTTGACCAGGTGAGAGAGTATACAGATGTTTGACCAGGTGAGAAATTATACAGATGTTTGACAAGGTGAGAGACTTAAGAGATGTTTGACCAGGTGAGAGAGTATACAGATGTTTGACCAGGTGAGAGAGTATACAGATGTTTGACCAGGTGAGAGAGTATACAGATGTTTGACCAGGTTAGAAACTATACAGATGTTTGACCAGGTGAGAGACTTAAGAGACGTTTGACCGGGTTAGAAACTATACAGATGTTTGACCAGGTGAGAGACTTAAGAGATGTTTGACCAGGTGAGAGAGTATACAGATGTTTGACCAGGTGAGAGATTATACAGATGTTTGACTAAGTGAGAGACTACACAGATCTTTTGACCAGGTGAGAGACTTCACAGGTATTTGACCATTTATGTCACATAGTGATAGTCTATATTTATATAGTGTCAGATTTTGTAATTTGGCTGCCAACATTATTGTTGTGTGTGTTTGAACACCCAAAGAAGACAATTTTTATTACAAGTATATTATCAGTTGTGTTCAGTGGGATGGTATCTAGAGATGGATATTTAAAAGGACTACCTCCTTTAGGAATCTAACACAATTAATTTGGTTACTTAATTTAGGTCACCAGAGACATAAAGGGTTGTGAGATTAATAGCTAGTCTCTGTTTTGTTTCACCCCTGTATGTATGACTGACCCACTATATTTCCATAGACAGTAACTATCCATCTGTTTGTTTCAGTTGTTTGTACTGATTATTGATCTGTTTGATCTCTGATTTCTTTACCTACAGACAGAAAACGAGCTCATCATGAAACTAGATGCCCTGGTGGAGGGAGGCTATGGTGATGAGGAGTACATGGATCTCATGTATGATATGTAAGTACCCAGCTATGTGTTGATACTAGGATTTTATGACTTGTGTATCCATAGCAACACTGTAAGACATTATGGTCTGTGTGTCCATAGCAACACTGTACATGGTTTGTGTGTCCATAGCAAGACTGTAAGACATTATGAGTTGTGTGTCCATAGCAAGACTGTAAGACATTATGGTTTGTGTGTCAATAGTAACACTGTAGGACAATATGGTTTGTGTATCCATAGCAACACTGTAAGACATTATGGTTTGTGTATCCATAGCAACACTGTAGGACAATATGGTTTCTGTATCCATAACAACACTGTAAGAAATTATGGCTTGTGTATCCATAGCAACACTGTAAGACATTATGGTTTGTGTATCCATAGCAACACTGTAAGACATTATGGTTCGGGTATCCATAGCAACACTGTAGGACTTTTGTTACTTAAATATATTGTATGTGTTTGTACTTTTTCAAGATTACATCGAATGTGCAATGGTAATGATGCAATGCGTAGTCAAGGTCTGGCCTTTGTGGATATGATAAAGCGACTACTGCAGCGCCTTCTGGAGTATCGTAAGATCATTCAGTATGAGAGTAAGGAACACAGAATGAACTGTATAGTGAACTTGCTCAACTTCTACCATGACATTGATCGTCAGGAGATGTACATCCGTTACCTGTACAAGCTATGTGATCTTCACATCGAGTGTGACAACTATACTGAGGCAGCTAACACACTCCAGTTACATGTCAACCTTCTCCAGGTATGCATGGATGTGAGAGGAGTAGTGTGTAGGTGGATGTGGGAAGGGCAGAAAAAGCCCTTCAGGTTTGTGTGGATGTGGAAAGAGGGGGGGGGAGATTTTATAGGTGTATGTAGATGAGGGAAGATTAGAAAAGAATCTATAGGTGTTAGTGGATGTGGGAAGAGTATAGAGGCTATACAGGTGTGTGGGCGAATGTGGAATGGATGGAAAAGCTCTCAAGTTGTGTGAGTTGATTCTAAAAGAATAGAGAGGTTCTACAGGTGTATAGGAACATGGGAAAAGTAAAGAGGATTTTCAGCTGTGTATCAATGTAGGAAAAATATAGAGATGATATAGGTGTGTATGAATGCTGGAGATGTTGAGAGGTTCATACATGTATTAATGTGGGGGGGAAGTAGAGAGTGCACAGATGTGGACAAAGAAGAGTAAATATTCTACAGTGGTACTGATTACTGTTACAGTGGTCAGGTGACCTTACTGTGATAGTCCAGGGTAATTGTCGGTAAATATTCTACAGTGGTACTGATTATTATTACAGTGGTCAGACGATAACCTACCTCTGATGCTCCAGAGTAACTGGTACCCAAACACCCACACCCACCGTGGACTCAAAGAGAAGCTGTACTATGACATCATTTCCTTCTTTGACAAAGGAAAGGTCAGTATGTGTTACATGGAATAAACCACCAAGGTCAGTTACTTGTAACTTTAAGATCTTTGTCCTGAGCTCATCAAAAATTTTGACAAGAACTTATTATGGTATGATGTCTGTCTATCGTTAACTTTTATATGTCCAGAGATTGCCTTCCAGTTTTCAACTGATCTTTTTCAGACTTGGTAGGCACAATCACCATAACATTAGTGTTTTACTGAATGACAACTTATGTACTGTATTCAGCAAAGTGACTGCCCCATGTTGTTTTCATAATGTTAATCTTGTCTGGAGATTTCATCTCTAAGTTTTCAACTGATTTCTTTGAACCTTTATAGGCTTTTAAATACAATGACATGAAGTTATATTTTCCTGAAGGGCAGTGTGATTTGACTTTATTTTGAAGAGTTATTGCCCCTTTTTGTCTTCATAATAATAATCTTGTCCAAAGATCCCCTCTTAAATTTTCAGCCCATTTCTGTCCAAGTTTATGGGCTGAAATACTATCACAGAAGTTTACTTTTGGAAGAGTTACTGCCCCTTGTTGTTTTCATAACATTAATTTTGTCTCTAGATCATCTCTGTCAGAATGCATTCAGTTTCTTTCAATCTTTTGTTGACCATTACAGCTGTTGGCCTTTTGTTGCCCATTGCTACTGTTGACCATTGTTAACCATTGTAACTCTTGACCGTTGTTGACTGTTGTTGACCATTGTAATTGTTGACCTTTGTTGACCATTGTTACTGTTGACCATTGTTGACCTTTGTAACTGATGACTGTTGTTGACCGTTGTAACTGATGACTGTTGTTGACCATTGTTACTGTTGACCATTGTTGACCTTTGTAACTGATGACCATTGTTGACCTTTGTAACTGATGACCATTGTTGACCTTTGTAACTGATGACCGTTGTTGACCATTGTAACTGATGACTGTTGTTGACCGTTGAAACTGATGACCATTGTTGACCGTTGTAACTGATGACTGTTGTTAACCGTTGTAACTGATGACCATTGTTGACCGTTGTAACTGATGACTGTTGTTAACCGTTGTAACTGATGACCATTGTTTACCTTTGTAACTGCTGACCTTTGTAACTGTTGACTGTTGTTGACCGTTGTAACTGATGACCATTGTTGACCTTTGTAACTGATGACCGTTGTTGACCATTGTAACTGATGACCATTGTTGACCTTTGTAACTGATGACCATTGTTGACCATTGTAACTGATGACTGTTGTTGACTGTTGTAACTGATGACCATTGTTGACCATTATAATTGTTGACCGTTGTTGACCATTTTGCTAGTTGCCAGTTATGATGTTGACTGTGATACCTGTGTTACAGATGTGGGAGAAGGGTATCCTACTATGTAAAGAACTGGTTCACCTGTATGAGAATGAGCTGTTTGACTATGAAAGGCTCAGTGTGATACTGGTAAGTAAATCCTTCACTCCTGATGGCAGGATATCTATCACTAATAACACTAAACCTATTGTACCTACTGTGTAATATTCCAGGGAAGATGGGGGCAAAACTCCAGACAGAGAGTTAGTTTGGTCTAAAACAGTCAAATGATGTAATCTTTTTACGAAATAGTGCATAGATGGGTTGTTTAATAGCTTATTATGGACTTGTCATTTCTCTATGTTAACAGCGCAGACAGGCAGACCTATACAGCTGTATTATAAAGGAGCTAAGAGCAGACCCTGAGTACTTCAGAGTGGGCTACTTTGGTCGAGGATTTCCAGCATTTGTACAAAACAAAGTGTTCATCTACCGCGGCAAAGAGTATGAGAGACTTACTGACTTTAATGCCAGGATGCTTAGCATGTTTCCAAATGCAGAGGTAAGTTTCTATCTTCATATCAACTACCCAACACTCTCTGTCCCATAGTGTTCCTGAGTGTAGTGATATTTATGGGATAACACAATTTGCTTCAATATGCATCATAATTATACTGTCATAAATTAAGTTTTACTGGCAATGCATAGCAGAAACAGTCAAACAGATATTTGTGATAGCGTAATCATGATATACCACTGTGATTTTTAAAACAATGATGGGTTACCTCTATTCTCCTTCTTATCAATTTGAACAGCTCAAAAATCTGGGTTTCCTTACTCAGGATTCGTGACACCAATAACTTTCAGAATTGCACCATTGTAAGGGATCACTCTTTTGTGTCTGTCATAATTTCCATGATGTTTCAGGGTCATTTGAGGTCATGGAATTATTAACAATTGCGCACTACTCTCGAGAAAAAGAAAACTTTGTGTACATTGTCGTTATACCATTGCAGATTATTTTTGTTAATCATAAGTATTACATCTCAAGTGTATTAGAACTTCCTTGGTTTTTTTTGTACTGTGTTGTACAATGCTTTACTGTTACAGGTACTGAAGTCCCTGTCGCCACCATCACAGGACATGATGGAGTCTAACAAACAGTGTATCCTTTAGTCTATTACCCTGTTCTAGCCTGTGAAGATTTTGTTATAAACCCTAGTCCTAATAACCTAGTGAAGGCAATGGGGATTTTACTGTACAATTAAGTATGGAAAAGCTTAAGTCATTGCTGTAAATCAGACCGTAAAGTACATGGGTTGGTGACCTAAATTGATTGAAGTCTACATATTTTGTGAAGTGTTGACCTTGATATTTGTCCAGATTTACAGATCAATGCTGTTACCCCTGTCCTGGAGTTGCAGGACAGATTTGTCAACAAACCAGTCAGCGAACGCATTCTAAAGTAAGTTGTTTACATTAACATCATAAAACCAAAAAAATAAAATTTGTTCTTTTCATATTTTAAGAAAGGATTTGTCATGTTGCATTGGTACAGGTTAATTATCAAGGTTAAGTCTTTATTGATGGTAAGGAAAAGTACTTGTGCTAACTAAAGGGAAGTAACTATACAACATAAGTCAATATTTATGGTAAAGGGAAGTAACTGTGCTAACTAAAGGGAAGTAACTACACAACCATTATCATTATTTATGGTTAGGTGCTAACTAAAGGGAAGTAACACAACATAAGTTATTTATGGTTGTGCTAACTAAAGGGAAGTAACTACACAACATAAGTCATTATTTATGGTTAGGGGAAGTAACTGTGCTAACTAAAGGGAAGTAACTACACAACCTGTATCATTATTTATGGTGAGGGGAAGTAACTGTGCTAACTAAAGGGAAGTAACTACACAACATAAGTCATTATTTATGGTAAAGGGAAGTAACTGTGCTAACTAAAGGGAAATACTACACAACATAAGACATTATTTATGGTAAAGGGAAGTAAATGTGCTAACTAAAGGGAAGTAACTACACAACATAAGTCATTATTTATGGTTAGGGGAAGTAACTGTGCTAACTAAAGGGAAGTAACTACACAACCTATATCATTATTTATGGTTAGGGGAAGTACCTGTGCTAACTAAAGGGAAGTAACTACACAACATAAGTCATTATTTATGGTAAAGGGAAGTAACTGTGCTAACTAAAGGGAAATACTACACAACATAAGACATTATTTATGGTTAGGGGAAGTAACTGTGCTAACTAAAGGGAAGTAACTACACAACATAAGACATTATTTATGGTTAGGGGAAGTAACTGTGCTAACTAAAGGGAAGTAACTACACAACCTATATCATTATTTATGGTTAGGGGAAGTACCTGTGCTAACTAAAGGGAAGTAACTACACAACATAAGTCATTATTTATGGTTAGGGGAAGTAACTGTGCTAACTAAAGGGAAGTAACTACACAACCTATATCATTATTAACTGTCAATATTTATGGTAAAGGGAAGTAACTGTGCTAACTAAAGGGAAGTAACTACACAACATAAGTCATTATTTATGGTAAAGGGAAGTAACTGTGCTAACTAAAGGGAAGTACTACACAACATAAGACATTATTTATGGTTAGGGGAAGTAACTGTGCTAACTAAAGGGAAGTAACTACACAACATAAGACATTATTTATGGTTAGGGGAAGTAACTGTGCTAACTAAAGGGAAGTAACTACACAACCTATATCATTATTTATGGTTAGGGGAAGTACCTGTGCTAACTAAAGGGAAGTAACTACACAACATAAGTCATTATTTATGGTTAGGGGAAGTAACTGTGCTAACTAAAGGGAAGTAACTACACAACCTGTATCATTATTTATGGTGAGGGGAAGTACCTGTGCTTACTAAAGGGGAGTAACTAGAGATGCTGCCATTTAACCTATAGTTGGAATGGTCCAGGAAGCATGGAATGTACCAATACAGGATGTAGGAAATTTCTAGATGTGTTGTCAGTTTTCACCTGTATTTACTATCTAATCAGTTCCTGAAATTTATTTTCTTGGAGAAGTTTTCAACCAGTTTTGGCAGTCCCATTTGCGATCTGTATGGGTCTGTATTTGCTATTATGTGCAGCCGTTCCATTGGTTCTGACTATTTCAACTTCTTTCACTAAAGCAGCTTATGTTTAGTAAAATCGTGTACTAAAAGAAAGTAACTAGATAATGGATTTACTTTTTCAAATATTGCTTGGCAGTACGTGAGTATGAAATTCTAAATGTGGAACAGCATAAATTTCAATACCCTGTGAGTAATTACTATGGTGATGGTGGCAAACCAATTCATATTTGTTTTTTTATGTTCTATCATCATCATTTTTTTTTTTTTTTTCAGGTATTACAATGTCAATGAAGTCAATAAATTCACATATTCACGGCGGATGGATGAGAGTAACAGTGATATCACCGTGAGTAACCAGATTCTTTTAATACTCCATGTTAACTATTAAAGTTAAGATATCATTGTTTGTTTTAATACTCCATGTTAACTATTAAAGTTGAGACATTATCAAATTGTCTATGTATCTATTTGTATTCCTTTCAATCGAAAATTCAACAGAAAATTAGAATATATTGTTGTTCTTTGTTGGTTAGCAATGTATTCTCTTTCTTTTAACAGAAAATGTGGCTGGAACGGACAACAATGGTTTCCTCTTACTCACTACCGGGGATATTATGTTGGTTTCCCGTCATCTCAACCACCACAGTATGTCTTACAATAGGTTTCTTCTGTTGACAGTGATGGCTGGGTTTCCAATAAATCTGTTGTCATTAAGTATGATAAAAATGTACTCTGAGCCCTGCTTCAATTGAGATGTCTGATGTGTTTCTATGGTAACAGTAATGATGTGTGTTTCTATGGTAACAGTACTGGTGTGTGTTTCTATGTTAACAATGCTGATGTATGTTTCTATGGTAACAGTACAGATGTGTGTTTACATGGCAATTATATTACTGATGTATGTTTCTATAGTTCTGATGTGTGTTTGTGTGGTATTAGTACCAGGTGAGTCCCTTGGAGAATGCCATAGAGACACTGGATGCTACCAATAAAAAGATAAACCTCCTCATAGAGCAGCACACAGCAGACTCCGGTCAAAGTGTGTCCAGTCTTGGTATGGTACTCAATGGTGTAGTGGATGCCTCGGTCAATGGAGGAATCACCAACTATAAGGTAAGATTATTGACCGCGGCCAAAGTCTAGTGACAGATATTGATCATGTGAAGGGAACTTGACATTTCCCATCACACTTGTTACATGGTAAAGTTGTTTCTCTGAACAATGTACATCTGCTTCTAGTTACAAAGTACTCCTTAGATGTAATAGTGTTTCATCATTACGAGATAAGCATAGAAGATTCTCTCACTTAAACAACAAATCAGATTTCTTTTATAAACTGAACTGTTTCAGATCTTCTACTCAGAGGACTATGGCGATTCAGAAAAGGACATGAATCTGGTTATCAAACTTAAAGATTTAACACGTAACCAGGTACAGTACTGCACATGCTCTAAAGCAGAGTCTAAATCTTAAAACATATTTGTACTGAAATAATTTTAATTTCCTACAACAAAATTTGATGGGAGCATAATTCTACAAGCAAAGTATCTGTCTGTTCAACTCTCTGTCTGTGGTTGGAAGTTTGTCTGGAGTATATTTGTTTATACTAATAAACAAATCACAGGGAATTTAAGCAATACATAAGGTGATGGTGTGTTTACTACTTACTTTGGAAAGGTTGCCATGGTAATCGATCACTAAAAACAGATTTTCATACAAAAGGTTGTCCAGGCCACTCCTAACTTGTGGTACAATTTCAATGAAACTTCACAGAAATGTTACAGAAATGTTAGCCACTAGGTTTAGTGTGCATTTAATATTTTTCACAAAAATGTGATTGCCATTTAAATCATACCAATTTAAGCAGTCAGTAAACAAGTTTTACTGTAAATTGCCGCACAACTCACTCATTACTTTATAGTTGACTTTCAGTTTCTTTTGAAGAGTCAAAATCATGTTTGAACTTTACATAAGCACACAAACTTAATTCTAATTTTTTTAAATCACAGTTTGAGTACAATGGATGAATACTAAGCATCAGGCTTGTTACTTCAGTTGTTAAGTAAATAACATCAGAAAAAGATTGTGTTTTTTTATATTTCCAGATGATCCTTCTGCGAGAGGCCTTAAACATCCACAAGAAAAAAGTAACAGATGACTTAAAACCTTTCCATCATCACATGGAGCAGAGGTTTGAGGAGATGTGTAATCTGATCAAACAGGAGTACAGTCTCAAGGTGAGTAGATTGAATACTGAAGGTCAGACGAGTTACTGGGAGTTGTGTAAACCATTCTGATTGGATAATTTTAAAATTCTATATCATTTCTGTAGTGCAGTATGCTAATAATTTACAATATAAAAAATAACTTATACAGGTATTATTCCTTTGGAGATTTGTACTACCACAGTAGTGAAGATTTTATCAAATTGACATTTCTGTTACAGCCCCCTGACAGTGCCTACATGAACACACTGAAGAGATACAAGTCCATGTCTGCAGTCAGTCTGAGTCGGTTAAGTGAGGCCTTTACAGTTCCCTCAGAGTGAGTATGCCAATTACTAGTTAGGTCATGTAAACAGCAGTCAGTCTGAGTCGGTTAAGTGAGGCCTTTACAGTACCCTCAGAGTGAGTATACCAATTACTAGTTAGGTCATGTAAACAGCAGTCAGTGTGAGTTGGTTAAGTGAGGCCTTCACAGTTCCCTCAGAGTGAGTATACCGATTACTAGTTAGGTCATGTAAACAGCAGTCAGTCTGAGTCGGTTAAGTGAGGCCTTCACAGTTCCCTCAGAGTGAGTATACCGATTACTAGTTAGGTCATGTAAACAGCAGTCAGTGTGAGTCGGTTAAGTGAGGCCTTCACAGTTCCCTCAGAGTGAGTATACCAATTACTAGTTAGGTCATGTATACAGCAGTCAGTCTGAGTCGGTTAAGTGAGGCCTTCACAGTTCCCTCAGAGTGAGTATACCAATTACTAGTTAGGTCATGTAAACAGCAGTCAGTCTGAGTCGGTTAAGTGAGGCTTGATCTTGATCTTGTATGGTAAATGATTACCCCACTAAACAGACAGGACAGGAAGTTCCCACTCAGTTAAGGGTTGGAAAGTTTCCACTCAGTTAAGGGAGTGAAAAGCTTCACCAAGTTGAGGGGAAGGAAAGTTTCCACCAAGTTGAGGGAGTGAAAAGCTTCACCAAGTTGAGGGGAAGGAAAGTTTCCACTCAGTTAAGGGAATGAAAAGCTTCACCAAGTTGAGGGGAAGGAAAGTTTCCACCAAGTTGAGGGAGTGAAAAGCTTCACCAAGTTGAGGGGAAGGGAAATTCCTACGCAGTTCAGGGGTGGAAAGTTTCAACTAAGTTGAGGGAGTGAAAAGCTCCACTCAGTTGAGGGATGGAAAGTTTCCACTAAATTGAAGAGATGGGGAAGTTTCCACTGAAGTGATTGGATGAAGTTCCACTAATTTGAGAAGTGGAAAGTTTCCACATAGTTGAAGGCGTGGGAAGTTCCCAATGTTGAAGGGTCAGGAAGTTTATGCTTATTTGAGAGCCTGGGAGTTCACATTTAGTTTGGGTAGAATCTTGTATTCAAGATATCTCATGACTTCTTTAGTCAACAGATCTATTTTATATTGATAGTATAAATTGGTAACCTTGGTCTTATGTCTTATCTTAAGGGTCACATGTCCCATTTTACAAATAATAAAATCCTTTGCTTGTACACAAGAAATTTCTTCTCCAACCCTGTATGTCTAACTAGACTCTGGAAGTGAAATGTTAGTGTGATAATGGAATAGAGTGGTACATTTATATCTTTGTGATGAATCCTTGCTCATTTTGTTTTACTTTAATATTTCTTTTTTTCCTTCTTTTTTATCATCTACATTAATCAGATGCCACTAATAAGCCTGTGCAACACTGTCATCCAATTGTTCATCTTACTAATAGCAGGATTTCATATGATATTAACATCTGTATAAAAATAACACCAAGTTTTATTGGTCAATCTGCACTTCAGAAAAAACCATGATTATAAATTATAAGTTGAATACATTGTTGGAATACTGCCAATAGAGATTAGAGACCACATACTTTGTATAATCACTGATTTCTGAAGATGACTTCCTACAAGAAAAATTCAAGACACGAGGCCTTTTTGTCCTCTTGTGTGTCGTCGAGCAGATTTGTGAGCCCATTAAATGCTATAGAAAGATCTATCGGTCAATCAATGTGTTTGTGTATTTTCATTTCATGTTTTCCTTTGTGAAGAATCATTCATTGATTAGCTACCACAATATATCAAACATACCATAAAAGGTATCATAATGTTGTTGTAACAGAATAAATTGTACTTTTTGTCTTTTTTATTTCCATGTAACTTACATAAAGAATGCTACTTAATCAAACAGTGGTTATTACTTTCTGTTTCAATGTATAATGTATGCATGACTGTAAATTACAGCAAACAGCCGGTGTACTACAGAAGGTAACCTGACACTACTGCTTTGTCTATACCAGGAGTATAATGTAGATTAGACATGCTTTCAGTGTCTTTATGTGTAATATCAAATGTCATTATGTTTTTGTCTGCTCCACCAACAATCTCCAAGCTTCTATCCCTAGGGCTGGGAAATTCAAATAGATTAATTACTCAATTTTCATTGACTGATCCTGGATTATGTGATAGAAATTAGCGATTGTAAATTTGATTTTACTTGGCTAGAATCAGATAGTAGGAAATATTTCAGACCAAGCCTATTACATTTCTGTGAATTTATAAGTCAGTTTTCAATGGCAAAAGCTGGATTGTGGAAATATTTCAGACCAAGCCAATGACATTTCTGTGAATTTATAAGTCAGTTTTCAATGGCAAAAGCTGGATTGTGGAAATATTTCAGACCAAGCCTAGGACATTTCTGTGAATTTATAAGTCAGTTTTCAATGGCAAAAGCAGGATTGTGGAAATATTTCAGACCAAGCCAATGACATTTCTGTGAATTTATAATTCAATGGCAAAAGCTGGATTGTGGAAATATTTCAGACCAAGCCAAATTCAATGGCAAAAGCTGGATTGTGGAAATATTTCAGACCAAGCCAAATTCAATGGCAAAAGCTGGATTGTGGAAATATTTCAGACCAAGCCTATGACATTTCTGTGAATTTATAAGTCAGTTTTCAATGGCAAAAGCAGGATTGTGGAAATATTTCAGACCAAGCCAATGACATTTCTGTGAATCTTTAACTCGTGGCTTGTGGCTTAATCCACCAAACCCCTCCTGAACTTTTATAGAAGTAGTTGGTGGAGCAGGACTTACATGAAATTATCATTACAGTTTGTTTTTACTGATCTACATTTTTGTTGTATTGTCTGTGTTTGTATGTTGTAACTGATATATACTATATAACTAGAGCTTTCCTGCTGTGTCTGATAGTGTGTATGTATATGTTTCTAGATGTTTCACACTGGGCTACCAGAGTATGCAAGGACCTTGTTAGTGTGTAGCTGCGTTACAGCCTTTGTCTATTTGAGTTTCTATAGATTGATGTTTGACTTATTCCTTTATTTCTCTTCTCATTCTCTGTCTGGTACAAGGGTTCTGACACCTGATCTTTCTCCTCTCTGTCTTAGATTCTGTGATAGTTATGGCATGGTATAACATCCATCAAGCTATACAGATGTTACAAGGAATATAATGGGTCGTTATTGTTATGGCTGAATTTTAAGGTTTTAGAGAAGTGGATGGGATTTTCCTATCTAATATTGCACATTTTGAAAATTTCAAAGAGATTTTCAACAAATTGTGGGTAAAAATTTCAAAATCTTGCCCCAGAATGATTCCTGATTTTTCTCTTTCCAGTTCTAAAATATACATGTAGTAGCTTTTGTGGGAGATTCTGACAAAAATGGTGGGATTTTTTATTTAATGCCCAAGCAATTTTATGAGAAAGTAAAGGTTGCCTGCATTTGTGTTGTCTCATCCAGTCATATATCTCATCCAGTCATATCACATCTCATTCAAATAAATGCTATCATTCTTTAGCAATTTCATTTGTTCAGAAATTCCATTAAAGCTGATACCAAGGCTAAGTGTGAAATGACCTTGGATAAGTGTCATGATTCTAAAGTCAAGGTCACCAAATTCAAATTAATTGAAAATCATCAATTCATTTGTGGGAAGGAGGTATTTCTATCTTCATTTTCTTGACTTTTATTTTTCTTTTCTATTATTAGAGATAAAATTTCAACAGTAATCCTTTTTTAGTTGAAAATCCAAATAAAAGTATGGAAGGTTATGAATAGGGATTCTTCTAGGAGTTTTAATTCAAAAGCTGGTTCTTTTTTTTGTTGGTAAACCTTGAATATCTTATTGCATGACAATGAAAGCCACCAGTTTCATTTCAGGTATAGAAAATGATGGTTTTGGAGGACCAGCTTATATCTAACCACATACCTATATACTTTAGATAATATTCTTGTAACAAAACCTACAAGATAATTATTGGTTAAGTTACATCGATTTATCTGATTAAAAAATGTTGCTTTGTCTGATTGACGGAGGTAACATCAGACAACAACAAAAAAATACGGCTTCTAACATGCTTTTGTATTGATATCTTTTCATGTTCCAATAGGGATGTGTATCTCTGCTTTTATAATGATATAAAAATCGGGAACAGCAGAATGGTGTTGATCTTATAGACATCTTTCAAACTCATCCAAGCTTTTGTGTAACCCAGACTCGGCTATCTGAAATTTTATCGTAACTAATCAAAACATTTGGTTCCAGCAGTAACAAATTCAGGTACATAGAATCCCTCAAATCTGCAGTGATGTTCAAATTAGAGAATTTTCAGATTTAGTTGCTAGTAACAGCTTATTTCAGTTGTAGTTTGTTGAAATTCTATCTTGTCTTGTAATTTATTACGGCTGTATTCCTAAAATCAGATAGATACATTGTAATGAGAAATCAGATCTCTATAATTATAGGCTTTTCTCATACTATCTATTCTGCACTGGGACCTCATTCTGGTATTCCATAGAAGTTGATAAAAATGAATAATTCCTGATAATTTGATTTTATTTAAATATCCAGGATTTAAAGCTACATTGAAATATCTAGCTAGATCATACATTAACGTAACTCTCCTTAATGAGATCAATGTCTGATGTTTGATATAGATGATCATTCCTTGTGTCAGTATTTTCATCTTCATGGTATCATATGTTATCTACACTTACATTCTGTATAACATCAAACTTCACCTGTATCAACATTAATAGTTATAGTAAATGATAAGTTGGAATCTCTTTTTTAAAAACCCTTTTTTCTATAATTACAGGAGTAACTATCCCACTCCCAAGACAACTCAGGTGGCCACACGATCTCCATCAGTCTGGGTGAAGGGTGACCGGTCAACAGGCTCTCCATCACCAAGCAAAGGCTTACAAAAAGTCAGCAACTTGGGTATATTTAAGCGAACGTCTGTAGCAGCCTCCTCTGATCACAGTAGTGAGGGCAGTAACAGCAATAGGAACTCGCTTGAAGCTGCCTCCGTCATTGAGTTGAATGAGCAGGCATGTACCCTCATGTTTTATTTAGTTGTGCTGTTTTATTTCATTGGCCTGTCCTAGTCAGGTGATGTCACAGAGCAGTTTTCAATATATTTGTAGAAGTTATGCCATTGGCATGAGATTGTATATTTTTGAACATGGAACACTACAGTTTGTGTGTATAGATATCTAAAGGTAACAGGAACACTCTATAGTCTGTGTATATAGATATCTGAAAGTTACAGGAACACTCTATAGTCTGTGTGTATAGATATCTAAAGGTTACAGGAACACTCTATAGTCTGTGTGTATAGATATCTGAAAGTTACAGGAACACTCTAGTCTGTGTGTATAGATTTCTGAAGGTTACAGGAACACTCAACAGTCTGTGTATATAGATATCTGAAGGTTACAGGAACACTCTATAGTCTGTGTATATAGATATCTGAAAGTTACAGGAACACTCTATAGTCTGTGTGTATAGATATCTAAAGGTTACAGGAACACTCTATAGTCTGTGTGTATAGATATCTGAAAGTTACAGGAACACTCTAGTCTGTGTGTATAGATTTCTGAAGGTTACAGGAACACTCAACAGTCTGTGTATATAGATATCTGAAGGTTACAGGAACACTCTATAGTCTGTGTGTATAGATATCTAAAGGTTACAGGAACACTCAACAGTCTGTGTATATAGATATCTCAAGGTTACAGGAACACTCTATAGTCTGTGTGTATAGATATCTAAAGGTTACAGGAACACTCAACAGTCTGTGTATATAGATATCTGAAGGTTACAGGAACACTCTATAGTCTGTGTGTATAGATATCAGAAGGTTACAGGAACACTCTATAGTCTGTGTGTATAGATATCAGAAGGTTACAGGAAGACTCTACAGTCTGTGTGTATAGATATCTGAAGGTTACAGGGACACTCTATAGTCTGTGTGTATAGATATCAGAAGGTTACAGGAACACTCTATAGTCTGTGTGTATAGATATCAGAAGGTTACAGGAACACTCTATAGTCTGTGTGTATAGATATCAGAAGGTTACAGGAACACTCTATAGTCTGTGTGTATAGATTTCTGAAGGTTACAGGAACACTCTACAGTCTGTGTATATAGATATCTGAAGGTTACAGGAACACTCTATAGTCTGTGTGTATAGAAATCTGAAGGTTTCAGGAACACTCAATAGTCTGTGTGTATAGATTTCTGAAGGTTACAGGAACACCTACAGTCTGTGTGTATAGATATCTGAAGTTTACAGGAACACTCTACAGTCTGTGTATATAGATATCTGAAGGTTACAGGAACACTCTATAGTCTGTGTGTATAGAAATCTGAAGGTTTCAGGAACACTCAATAGTCTGTGTGTATAGATTTCTGAAGGTTACAGGAACACTCTACAGTCTGTGTATATAGATATCTGAAGGTTACAGGAACACTCTATAGTCTGTTTATATAGATATCTGAAGGTTACAGGAACACTCTATGCTATAGTCTTTTTTATCTGAAGGTCTATGAAAATGTATGTTTGTAGACTTTTGAAGTTGGTGGAAAACTTAAAACTAATAGAATGGTCTTTTTAATGTTCTTATGAAAAGTGTTTTTTCTTTTTTCTTTTATGGAATCTGATGATGTAGTAAGTTTAAATCATGAAAACGTGCCAATGTTTCAGGTGAGATTTCAAAGGCCAGTTCTGTTTATTTTCATATTTGTTTATTTTTATATTTTTTTTTTCTTATTTCATTTGCATTTGATCCCATATTTAATTAGTCATGAGATGCTTAATCCAAATTCTCTCTGTGTAGAAAGCTGGTAAATTCAGTAGAGACCCATAAACATTTTCTGTCACAAGTAAAAAAAAAAATGTGTATGACATTTTTTGGATTTAGATACTGAATGTTCTCATTAGTTAAGTATGATTTGTTATTTGAACAGTTAGAGAATTTCTAAATCTTGTCGGTTTTGTAGGAACTGGCGTTTATTTCAATGGGGAATCACCGACGAAGTAGATTGTTTAGTCGTGTTGAGGAGGTGGGGTCAGAGTTTTTCATTTTATTGGAGGCTTTATGTGTCCAGAATATTTAACCAGAATAATACCTCATACTCCAGTGTTAATACTGTAATCATAGGATTACCAAAGTCAAGGTATCATTGTAATTACCTCTGGTTTGAACTTATCAGTACCTTCAGAAGGAAGCATGCCTAGAGATGGTAGAGTTCAGAATAACAATGATGCAAGTTTTTAGTAAAGATTTTAAGAAAACAGTGGAGTATAAGGTGTTATACTGATTAGGTTGGAGCTCCGGCTTGTAATCAATGAATTCATGTATCTAGATTAGGGTGGATTGATATATGGTAATGCTTGGTGATGTTTGTAAATAATCCAATTATAACAATAAAGGATGTTTTAAAGAATAATGTAGATTAACTCCCAGTAGACAAAGAGTAAGGATAGCGTTGTTCTGTGAAAACAATGGTCATAAATTGTATTTATTTGGGACAACATGTATCATACAGGATAATATAGATTACTGGGAAAATTAGGATGATTACATAAAAGTGACATAAATTGATGGTGAAAAGGAAATTTTGACTTATCATGAACACTTTTAATTAATTAGGGGTGATCATTTTCATCACAGAGAGTTTCAGTAGTACTAAACACTGTTTATACACTCGCATTTACCAGCTAATATTAACCGAGTATGTTTGCAAGCTAACTTTTCTGTGCTTGCATTCATGTAATCACACAGAAAATATGGATTTCTCATTCTGCTAGACTTTTCAGCATCAAGCTTTAGCAATATTTGTAATGGTATGAACAAATTTGATTTGATCTCAGTTTCAATCACTGTATTATTTAATTTTAGTTTTTGACCTTTTGTTTACTCTGAAATAAATCCTTAGTTGTGTTGAGAAGATTACTGAGAGTATTTTAGCATGTTTGATAGACGTAGAAGAGACTATGGTTTAAATTCTAATATATGTTTGATTTCGATTGACTAATTGTGCTATTTGGATATTTCTGTTTTTAGCTTACTTGATTTTTTTGCAGTTTTGCTAACATTTATTTCCTGTTTTAGCTGCTATACTGCCAATACCTTCTTTCACATTTCTGAGAAAAAAATAATTATGACTTGATAAGCTAATCAGAATCTGGATAATCTTAAAAAAAATAGAATTGTGGAAAGGATTGATTTGGAAACAAGAATAATTCAGTAACATGTTAAGCAGTGTATTTAATGGTTCATCATTAATCTCGGTGTGATCCATCTTAACCAATCATACAGAGAGAATGTAAGTTAATAAACCTGATTCTGAGGATGACAGGTATTGAATGATTCTAGATAATCCATCACATTATAACATAGAAGTAAGTGAGGATATGAAAGGAGATAGGTCAGTAAATGAAGTAGGATGACATGTTTTATTTGACGTGGATCAGTGTTCATTGTTGTACTAGATAACACCAAAGCGACCTCTACGCCCAGAAAACTCAGAGAGGAGACAGAGTCATACCTACTCCAATCAATTCAAAACGGAATCGTTTACAACACTGAATATTAGCACCAGCAGTTTGGCCTCCAATAACACAGGTAATACATCTCTTGTCAGTGTCTGGTGGTTATTGGTAGACTGATAAATCAATATTTCTCTATAATAGTTAAAGTATATTTGAGTAATGCAAAATGTCTATATTCTCTAAGAAATTCCTAATTATTAATACAACAGTATATTGATGAGAGTTTTCCCCCTTTGTTTCAATCACCAGACACCAACAGCAGCAGTGACCAGGAATTGGCCGATGTTTCAGCAGAGCCACCTCAGTTACCAGAGAAACACAGCACATGTTCCGATTACTCCAACCTCACCAATGACATTCCAGACTTCCCCGTCCCTCGCAACTCCACCGCAAGTGCAACAGGAAATCGAAAATCCAAGGTTGTTGGCTTTTTCCGCAAATTTCACAGGGCATCCACAACCAATTTTGAGGAAGATTGAAAATAGATTATTCAGTAATTTATGATAGAACAAGTATGTATAGATAGAGGACTAATATAGTGTAGAATACAGCCGAGGTAGGTACCATCTATACCAGAGAGACAACATTGATGTTTCATTTACAACTGACAGCAGATAAGATGCCATGTTGAATATTAAATTATAAATTAATAGTTGTTTAAAGCAACAATGATATACCTACAGATATGATACAGGAGTACACTGGTCTCTTGTGTAGATATTAACCTCTGTTGTTTAATCTGTTGTATGTTCCAGAGAACAGGTATGGTACTCACAAATGAGCCTAAGTAGGGGTTCACCAGTTGTTCTGTTGTTATGTGAAGTGCAAAGTTTATTTAGTTTTGTTATTGTGTCATATATATATATATATATATCATCTTTTCTGCACAATGTCCTTTATTTTTGGTTTCTGTTTTTGTTTTTTCTTTGTTGAGAAGAAACATAATCCTGGGAGGTATGAAAACCTGCCAATACACAATGTCACCAGACACCGTCTTTCCTATGTATAAATTGGGATTTTCTGTTGATTGAATGATTAGTATTTCAGGTTGAAGTATTTCTTTTTGAGTTTTGAGTTTAAAGTGACTGTCTCCATTGAAATATTTCATTCTTAATTAAGTCAGATATACTGGCAGCTGAGGGACCATCTCTATTAAATATTGATGTTTGGGTGAGATATACTGGCAGATTAGGGACCATCTCTATTGAAATATTAATGTTTGTGTTAGATATACTGGCAGATTAGGGACCATCTCTATGAAATATTGATGTTTGGGTTAGATATACTGGCAGATTAGGGACCATCTCTATTAAATATTGATGTTTGGGTGAGATATACTGGCAGATTAGGGACCATCTCTATTGAAATATTAATGTTTGTGTTAGATATACTGGCAGATTAGGGACCATCTCTATGAAATATTGATGTTTGGGTTAGATATACTGGCAGATTAGGGACCATCTCTATTAAATATTGATGTTTGGGTGAGATATACTGGCAGATTAGGGACCATCTCTATTGAAATATTGATGTTTGGGTTAGATATACTGGCAGATTAGGGACCATCACTATTGAAATATTAATGTTTGTGTTAGATATACTGGCAGATTAGGGACCATCTCTATTAAATATTGATGTTTGTGTGAGATATACTGGCAGATTAGGGACCATCTCTATTAAATATTGATGTTTGTGTGAGATAAACTGGCAGATTAGGGACCATCTCTATTGAAATATTGATGTTTGTGTTAGATATACTGGCAGATTAGGGACCATCTCTATTGAAATATTGATGTTTGGGTTAGATATACTGGCAGATTAGGGACCATCTCTATTAAAATATTAATGTTTGTGTTAGATATACTGGCAGATTAGGGACCATCTCTATTAAATATTGATGTTTGGGTGAGATAAACTGGCAGATTAGGGACCATCTCTATTGAAATATTGATGTTTGGGTTAGGTATACTGGCAGATTAGGGCCCATCTCTATTAAAATATTAATGTTTGTGTTAGATATACTGGCAGATTAGGGACCATCTCTATTGAAATATTGATGTTTGGGTTAGATATACTGACAGATTAGGGACCATCTCTATTAAAATATTGATGTTTGTGTTAGATATACTGGCAGATTAGGGACCATCTCTATTGAAATATTGATGTTTGGGTGAGATATACTGACATATTAGGGACCATCACTATTAAAATTTCTGGTTTTCAATCAGGATAGACATTTAGATATATTAATTGTAAGACTGCTTTTTCCTCACAGAACGATACCAATCACTTCTATGAGAGTGTAAGTACAAGGAAACCTGCCAGCCTTAATCAGTCGAATATTTGATGAAGCTTAATGTCTGTCAATTTTTCTACTAACTTTGATAGATTTACTACTGTTAACAAAGAATGGTATTTTTTTTAGTTTTGCCAAGAATGGATTGTATTGAGTCATGTGTGATCACATATATATACATATACAATACCGGTAATTGTTTCATTTGCATCACTGAATTGTAGTCATTTTAGTCATACACCAACATCACTAGGTCAAGGTTATGCATGTTATAACAAGGTCAAGGTCATGTATGTTATACCAACATATCAGAAATAAAATTTTATATATTATATCTAAATACCAAGGTTAAGGTCATGTATGTTACATCTGCATATGATGCAAGTATTTAAAAACAAGGAAGTGCAAATTAAGGTATTTTTAAACCATCTTTAGAGTTATAGTCATGTACATTGTGGTAGAAAGTTAAACATGAACCATCATAGTTGAGACCTTGTTTGAAAAACATCAGTGCTCTACTGTTTTACAGAAATGTCCATTGATAGTGATGTATTTATGCATGTTTCCACCTGAATAAGACATATAAGGAACCTTTCCATTAGAGTACAAGCTGAAGTGTAGCAAAAACATTTTTCTTGGTTTCATTGGTGACTAGATGTTGCTGTTGAAAGTTTAATGATGTTTGTGTCCATGGACTTATGATGTTGGTGTTCAGTGACTTATGATGTTGGTGTTCAGTGACTTATGATGTTGGTGTTCAATGACTTATGATGTTGGTGCTCAATGACTTATGATGTTGGTGTTCAATGACTAATGATGTTGGTGTTCAGTGACTTATGATGTTGGTGTTCAGTGACTTATGATGTTGGTGTTCAATGACTTATGATGTTGGTGCTCAATGACTTATGATGTTGGTGTTCAATGACTTATGATGTTGGTGTTCATTGACTTATGATGTTGGTGTTCAGTGACTTATGATGTTGGTGTTCAGTGACTTATGATGTTGGTGTTCAATGACTTATGATGTTGGTGCTCAATGACTTATGATGTTGGTGTTCAATGACTTATGATGTTGGTGTTCAATGACTTATGATGTTGGTGTTCATTGACTTATGATGTTGGTGTTCAATGACTTATGATGTTGGTGTTCAATGACTTATGATGTTGGTGTTGTTGGTGTTCAATGACTTATGATGTTGGTGTTCAGTGACTTATGATGTTGGTGTTCAATGACTTATGATGCTGGTGTTCAATGACTTATGATGTTGGTGTTCAATGACTTATGATGTTGGTGTTCAATGACTTATGATGTTGGTGTTCAATGACTTATAATGTTGGTGTTCGTGGACTTATGATGTTGGTGTTCAATGACTTATGATGTTGGTGTTCAATGACTTATGATGCTGGTGTTCAATGACTTATGATGTTGGTGTTCAATGACTTATGATGTTGGTGTTCAATGACTTATAATGTTGGTGTTCGTGGACTTATGATGTTGGTGTTCAATGACTTATGATGTTGGTGTTCAATGACTTATGATGTTGGTGTTCAATGACTTATGATGTTTGTCTTTGACTGTTATTGACATTTTCCTGGATGTGATGTACTTTTTTTCTACCAGATTGACAGTTCTAAGTTTCTCTAATACACTGCATGTTTATTTAGTTGACTTTATCAAATCATTCTGTCCTTCTTTGTCTACTAAAAGAGTATGATAATGAGGTAAATCTGTTATATTGTCATAGCGAGATAGGTGATTGTGATATGTTCTAACACAGGTTGTTTTCATAAATACAGATACAGATAACTTATAGAGAACAATTTTCTTATACCAAAATTTACAACAATATGGATATTTGTATGAATTACATGGAAATCAAACACAAAAAACACTATAGATATGTTCCAGCAGTGTTGATACAGTGCTACTGAGATGGTCCTCAATACCTCATGAAGTTAGGGTGTATTCTGTTTTTGATGTTGTACTTTGATCATATCCTACATGTGAAGTTGTTCACCTTTTTAGTTTGTTCAACATCAGTTTTAATCAGATCTGGAAAAATGCACATTCTAATCAGAAATAAGCACCAAGGTTGATTTGTTAAACACTAATTCTTGAGGAGTAAATGTCTTTATATTTAATTAGCTGATATTTAATCAGCTGGTATTTAAGCCAGGTTTTCATCTGTATGAACTAACCAGCATGATAACGTATATATCCTGATGTTGTTTAGTGTTTGTCGTTCTCAATAGCCTGTCTATACTTTACCTCTGTAACTAATTACAAGTTAAAAACATTCTGTAAATCAACTTATTTCATATAATTACAAAACAACAGTTGATAATGGTTCTGAATATATGTGTGGATTACATGTATCCTTGTAAATATCTTATGATTAGATTTGTTACGTCACATCTTTCCTTGCACTACAACATTAAAATGTTGCTATTGTGCCAGCATTTGTCGATCAAAAGTTTTGCACTATAATTTCATGGAAAATATTTTGTGAGTGAATTGTTAAGAAAAATGACAAAAACGATATGCTGAAATTTAAGGGCTATTAGCTAGCACAATCAAACAACCCTTGTATTGAAATTTTACTGAGGGAGTTAAGTAGTATAAAAGCAGCATTATACTGCTGTTTTCTTGTGTGCCAGTACTCAACTTGTGTTATAAACCTAAATTCCAAGGTCACTACTTCTACTTGCTCTGAAAATGAATGCCTCTCTGCTCACACAGAAGTTTGATTTAAATCTACCTGGATTTTAGCCTGTGACATGTCAATATATGATACAGACAGAAATATTGACCCAGCAGATACAACCATCTTACTGTAATGTTGACCCAGCAGATACAACCATCTAGCTGTAATGTTGACCCTGCACACAAGCTGCTGACAGTATGTTGACCCAGCAGATACAACCATCTGACTGTAATGTTGACCCTGCACACGAGCTGTTGACAGTATGTTGACCCAGCAGATACAACCATCTAACTGTAATGTTGACTCTGGACACAAGCTGTTGACAGTATGTTGACCCAGCAGATACAACCATCTGACTGTAATGTTGACCCAGCAGATACAACCATCTGACTGTAATGTTGACCCAGCAGATACAACCATCTGACTGTAATGTTGACCCAGCAGATACAACCATCTTACTGTAATATTGACCCAGCAGATTCAACCATCTGACTGTAATGTTGACCCAGCAGATACAACCATCTGTCTGTAATGTTGACCCATCAGATACAACCATCTAACTGTAATGTTGACCCTGCAAACGAGCTGTTTACAGTATGTTGACCCAGCAGATACAACCATCTGACTGTAATGTTGACCCAGCAGATACAACCACCTGACTGTAATGTTAACCCTGCACACGAGCTGTTGACAGTATGTTGACCCAGAAGATACAACCATCTGACCGTAATGTTGACCCAGCAGATACAACCATCTAACTGTAATGTTGACCCTGCACACGAGCTGTTTACAGTATGTTGACCCAGCAGATACAACCATCTGACTGTAATGTTGACCCAGCAGATACATCCACCTGACTGTAATGTTAACCCTGCACACAAGCTGTTGACAGTATGTTGACAACAGACATGAACTGTTTACAGTAGCGTTGACATTTCATACATGAGCTGTTGACAGTAATGTTGACCCAGCAGACAGCAGCTGTTTACTGTAATGTTGACCCTGAAGACATGCGTTGTTAACAGTATTGTTGACTCATCGTGCATGTGTTGATAGTAGTGTTGACATTTCATACATGAGCTGTTGACTGTTATGTTGATCCAGCAGACATTAGCTGTCAACAGTAGTGTTGACCAGCAGACATGGGCCATTGACATTAGTGTTAACCAGCAGACATGGTCCATTGACAGCATTGAGAGGTTGGCTCTAATTTTGACAATCCATTGGTTCAGATTTCTTAGACATTCTACTTTCCACTTGCAGCCTCTGCCCTCTCTACCTAAGGACAAGGACATGGCACCCCCGCCTGTGCCCAAAAAACACACCACGCCAAAGATTAACAACAACCTCTCTGTCGACTGATGCTTACTCCCTTTGAATGAACTCTTCTCACATTCTGTATGAATTCTTCATTCTACTTGCTGTGTGCTCAGCATGTACAGTGGAGATAATTGTTGAGAACCTGCTGTTTTCCAGAAAGAATTTCTCGGACTCTGCATGAAGACTAGCTCTGAATCTGTGATAGCTGAAACTGTTCCAATCCTAAAGAAACTACTTGGGTCTTTTGTGTCTTGCTTGGATCTCAGCAGTGACCAATTCCTTTTCCTGTAGGGTTTGATAAACCTTACTAATGTATGATTATGAAGATTTTTTTCTGTTTTTTGTTTTTTTTTATTATTTGTGCCTGTATAAAAACTGTTTTGGACTTTGCAGTGAAGTTAAGCAGTTAACGGTTACAAGCTCAGACTTTGAGAATTGATGTAAATTTGAAATTTAACAATGGTGTATGTTTGAAGTGGTCACATAAAACTGTTTAGTATAATATGTCAACATACAGTGTTGTCTAAGCACCTAGATAGTTTAAAGGAATTTTGCAGACACAGATGCCTCAATAACTTATTTAAAGTTTGATTTTAAAGTTTGTATTAATGTGTTTTTGAAACTCTTTATATAAAACACTTTTTGATACTTAGCATCAGTGTGTTTTAGATCTGAACATCAGTCATTGTTGTACCACTCCATGTATAGTTAGTTATGGCAGTCAGGAGTCTCTGTCTTCAGTCATACCTATCTTTTATTAATAAATAAAATGCTTAGAATGTTGATTTTTGTGTGTACCTGTACCGTGTCATATCTTTTGTGTATTTCTGTGTCCTAGTATATAACTATCTTACATTCCCTGTGTATATTGAATTTGTTATATAGATATATCTTGATAGGTTTATAACATTGTATCAACATTTTAACGTTTTTTAATGCTATATGTAGGTATAATTCTGTCAACTTTGATCAGAAATGTTTGATTTAATGATTTGAGCTTTGTAATTTGCCACAGAGAGAAATTCTAGAGAGATTTAGAGGTAAGTGTTAACAGTGTATTGTGATAACCATTGTAACATGTTATGTGCAGTAAGAAATTATTCCTTGCTGATACACCAGTTAACTTTGATACTCTCAGTAATCATTTCAGCTATCAAGTTCTTGTAGTGTGAAACTCTGGTAGATTGGAATGGCTTTTGTGTTACTTATTGATTCTGGTGTTGATGTCATTAGTTATTGATTGTTATTGATAATTAGTGTTTTAGTTAAGTCAACATTGAGTACTTTCAGCTGTAACTATCAAGAATAATTCATAACCATATATTATATCATAACTACCTTCCAATTTCATAGAATTTGTGTCAAAATGTCTTAATAAAAGTAGACAATTGTTTAATCATAATTTTTTTTTTTCGGTCTTGTTCTTCATGCCATGATTATGTTGAATAAGTTAATGTGACAGAGCGTCATATGTACAGAAAATATACTTATATACGGTAAATTTCCATACACAATATAAATGTGTCATATGTACAGAAAATATACTAATATACGGTAAATTTCCATACACAATATAAATGTGTCATATGTACAGAAAATATACTAATATACGGTAAATTTCCATACACAATATAAATGTTGCATATTTATGAACTGATGTGTATTTCTTGTATAAAACTTATTAGCAATGTGTAGTGAATGCTCACAACATTAACATCTTTGTGCTTTGAAGTGTTGATAAAATGATCAAATCTACTATATAATTGAATGTTTTACCAACCTTAATGGATAGATTCAGAGAATTCCTTATTCTTTAAAAAATAAACCGTCAAAGAATGTTTTATCAATGTACATACTGAATTTTTTGCTAAATATGTCAGAGAGTATTTGAAATTGTTGGTAAAGTTTTACTGTTTATTTATAAATATCTAACACTGAAATAAGATCTAATACTGTGCAGTCATCTTGAAAGTGGAAAACCTAGCAACCAAAAAGAATTTCATTGTAAACTTTCCAGACTAGGAATCCAAACCCAAAATATATGTTTGGAGGACACTCCTTATTAGGGATTATATTTCTGTGTAGCGCTGGTTGCTAGGGACAAGATTTTTGTGGTATGACTTTTGCTAGGGACAAGATTACAGCGAGTTACTTTCTGTGAGGTAAAAGGTTTCTCTGTGGCACTTACTGCTAAGAACTAGATTTCTATGTGGTATTATCATTGGGCCATATGTGTCTATATGGCACTTATTGCTGGCAACTAGACTTCTGTGTCATATTGTTGTATAGCCAGATATTTCTGTATAGCAATTGTTGCTGGGGCTTGATATCCAAATTGTATTGTCACTTGGCCCATTGTTTCTATATGGCACTTGTTGCTAGGGACTTGATCTTTGTGTAACTGTTGCTAGGGACAATGTGATAATACATTTAAGTGATAAGGTTTCTGTGACACTTGTTACTAGAGAAAAGATTTCTGTGTGGTGATTGTTACAAAGGACTATATTTTTGTGTGGTACTTGTCGCTAGGTACTATATTTCTGTGTGGTACTTGTTGCTAGGGACTATATTTTTGTGTGGTACTTGTCGCTAGGGACTATATTTCTGATAGTACTTGTTGCTAGTGACTAGATTTCTTTTTGATACTTGTTGCTAGGGACTCAATTTGTTGCTACCTTGTTTTCTTTTAGTTTCTGTTTAAACAAATTAGAGAGCAGTCAAAATGGATAAATGTGTTTCATGTCCTCTAGTCAGACTATAAAGTGCGTTATGAACAATATGAACAATATATTTAAGACATTGTGTAAATATTCACAGATCATAGACAGCAGTTTTAGATCATCTGGCAATGTGTGTTTAACAAGAAAATTATGTAAATAATAATGACATTGATTAAAACTACAGCTGTAGAGAGTGTATAATGTCCTCATTTAGTATGACAGCATTTCTGTGTGGCCTTTATAATGTCAGGCTTTCTGTCATGGAGATATAATGATCAATCTTTTTTAATTAAAATCTCAAATATGGTATTTACGGTATTGTAGCTGGTTTTACTATGGCATCAAAGTAGGATTATAGTTCCTGGTGAAGCCTACAAGAATAACAACACCCTAACTGTTCTGTCCGGGTGACATGTCAGGCCAATAGAGGACTGGTGTGCCAGATCTGACAGATGCATTAACTAGTCAATTTCTTAACCATTTGTTAGAGTCCCTCTTGTAGAAAAGCTTAATCGCTAATTTTTGTGTGATTCTCCAAAGTGCTTTAGTCAGAGGTCAAATGACTGGAGCAGTTTCATTAAGAACATGTTCTGAAATTGATCAATTGTTTTTTTGTAAAATTGTGCCAATATTACGACAGGTAAAATTTCATGTCAGCAGTGAAGAAGTGTATTGATTGTCAATGGGTACTCCCTAGCACAATTTTGTAGTGAAAATAGCTTTGATTTTTAATGATAAAAACTAGATTTTATCGCCAGCGTTTCATGAAATATTGTGATAGTAATGACATGTTTGATGTACATTATGCCTGTTCGCAGTGTCGGTATCTCTTCAGGTGCTTGTTTTATAATCAACTCTACAAGATTTTTCATTGATATCTCTGTCGTTATGTACATCATTTCACTTTTGTAGAATCTGTTGAAGCCATCTGTGTGAATTTGCTATGTATATATATACAATTTATCTGCCAGCAGATGTTTATTTTTCACACATTTTATATAATTTTGCTAGCATTCAGCTAGCTGATATAATGATCATGCAAATTTTGCCTAGTGGCATTTTTTATTTTTGTATATATATGTGGAGCTGCCAGCCAGCTGTATTATGGTGAGAGCTTGGCAGCATATATAACAGTAAACATCTACAGCGTACAAATTTTTTGTTTTATTTATAACCTCCAGAAATTGTATGATCCCATGTTGATGTCATCTTGCTCCAAAAATGAACAAGTCATTATTCTTGTAGAAAGCATTCTTCATTCAGATAGTTAATAAGGTTGATAATTGTAATGTGTGTTTCAGTAACAAAGTCTTGTCAAAAGATTCCAAACATCCAGGAATGTGATCATTCTTGTTGTTACAAGGTTTCCTTCTGGATACCATTATTCTGTCTTAAATGTTCTTGATTTTATATACTTGTCAAACCGTGATCTACCACAGTTTTGTCTACTGATCTACCACAGTTTTCATTTGATCTTTTTTTACATTTCGTAGGCTTACTCACCATGACATTATTTCCTGAACGGCAAATTGCTTTTATTGTATTCTGAAGTTACAGCCCCCTGTTTTCATATTATGTTTAATTTTGGTCATATATCTCCCTTCTCTGTTATCAACTGTTTTCTTCAAAATGTTGTAGGCTAAATCAGCATGACATGAAATTGTTCTTTCCTGAACAGCAATTTAATTTGGCTGTATTTGGAAGAGTTATTGCCCTTTGTTAATGTTGTCCAGGATCTCTATCAGTTGTTTGCTACTACTTTACACACATGGTAGGCTTTGAGATTGCAGGTGCTTTCAGGTAAGGAGTTGAAACAGTTGAACCTGTTGAACCTGCAAGGAAAACACCAGGTTCAGATCAGGACCGAGGCTGGATTGCCAATTATTTGGCATGTGCAGTTTGAGGGATACCTGTGCCTGTCCAAAACTAATTTACTGAAAAACATTAGTTTATATAGGGTCAGTGCAATTGCAGAGTTTTGGTAGCATTGTGATATAAAGTATGAATGAAATGGATAATATCTCGATTTCAGTTAATTGATTATGCTGACAGGAAATTCCCAAATTGTGCATTTTTAAATTGACATATACCAGATCCAACACCCAGTACAAGTGTGTTTGCATTCCGGACCACCTAAACTGTTTCAACCTTGTTACAGGAACGCAGCCTTTTTGAACAACATGTTGATTTAAGAATATTTCCGAGTTACTGCCTATATTTGTTTAAGCAATTTGATTCTGTACAAAGATTTCTCTCACTTTTCAATTTATCTCTACATCTCGGTATGTTTTAATTTAGTACCTTATAATTTCAATGTTTGTATTTCAATACAGTAAATCATGATGCATGGTTATTTCTTTGGCAAAGGAGCAGCAAGTATTGTCCTGCCCTGAGATACTGTTGTTTTTTCAATTAAGTTGACTTATACACTGTGATATGAAGTTGTGTTATCCTGAACAGCAGTTTGATTTCATTGTAATGAAAGAGTTGCCAAGTCTTATTACCAATCTAGATCATTCATTGCAGAGAGTTGAGATAGGCTTCTGCCTGAATCACTTTCATTGGCAACATTTTAAGATCATCTGACCGAAGGGTCTCATTGAGCTGAAACTTACCTGAAATGATCGTGACATGATCCTGACCAAAGTTTTTTTAATTTTGGGTTGGTCTGAAATCCAACATGACCGCCATCTTGAAAACACATTTTCTACCTCTTCTCAAGTTCAAAATTTGAAATCTTGTATTTTATGTCAGATGACCATTAAGGCCCATGGGCCTCTTGTTTCAGTTATGTGCTGGACATACAGCAGGAATATATTATTGAGGTCCAAACATATTTTGGGAATATGTTGATTTAACCTTTCAGAATCAAGGGAGAAAACTCTAATGCTTAGACTAGGACCAAACACGACACATTTGATTAACATTCTGCAGTATATTAAGTGATATTCGAAGAATATCTAAGGTTACATATTCTGTTATAATGTAACGAATACTGAAACATTTCACAATAGTGTCTAATGTTACATTGAAACAGTTCAGCTCTGAAGCAATCCTCGTACTGTAGATCTTTCATTGGGATTTTGTCAAATTCCTGCTTACTGTTCATGTATCCATATAATATTACACAGATATAAGTAGACATGGTTATAGTACTAGTGCATTTTTTGAGAAAGTTTTATCCAAAAATGCATATTTTTGTAAAACCATGAAATTTGAGTCCAGCGAAAAATATAAATGACTTTACAGTAGCTGAATGGAATCTTTCAACACCAATACCTGACCAATTAAAAAGTTACGCTGATAACAACATTTTACATAGAATAACAAAGATCAGTGTAGCTTTAAGGATTTAATCTTTATTTGCTGGCTGTTGAAGCTGCTCAAATAAGGGCTTTGGGCTACAAACAGATTGCAAGCAACATTGACGACAAGGGCCATCCATGTCAGCCAATCAAAGGCCGTACAAAGGCAGCCATTTATATAGACAAATAAGGAAAACAAAAAGATAAAGCAAGTGATGGTGATCACTAGAAGTCTACATAGTCAACTTACTGACATAAAAACCAAAATCATTTCCTAGTATTACTCATATTCAAGTAAGAATCTGGGTAATGAGAATCTCTCGCTTTATACAGTTGTTGGGATGAAGTTCAAAACCACGTCAAATACATTGCTTCTTGTGAAGAACAAAAGTGATAAGTTAGCAGGGTAAACTGTACACTTAAAAATCAGAATTGATCCATTACAAATTGTAACAGTTTGACAAAGTCTGACAAATTGTAACAGTTTGACAAAGTCTGACAAATTGTAACAGTCTGACAAAGTCTGACAAATTGTAACAGTTTGACAAAGTCTGACAAATTGTAAGTTTGACAAAGTCTGACAAATTGTAAGTTTGACAAAGTCTGACAAATTGTAAGTTTGACAAAGTCTGACAAATTGTAACAGTCTGACAAACTGTAACAGTTTGACAAAGTCTGACAAATTGTAACAGTCTGACAAAGTCTGACAAATTGTAACAGTTTGACAAAGTCTGACAAATTGTAACAGTTTGACAAAGTCTGACAAATTGTAACAGTTTGACAAAGTCTGACAAATTGTAAGTTTGACAAAGTCTGACAAATTGTAAGTTTGACAAAGTCTGACAAATTGTAAGTTTGACAAAGTCTGACAAATTGTAACAGTCTGACAAACTGTAACAGTTTGACAAAGTCTGACAAATTGTAAGTTTGACAAAGTCTGACAAATTGTAACAGTCTGACAAACTGTAACAGTTTGACAAAGTCTGACAAATTGTAAGTTTGACAAAGTCTGACAAATTGTAACAGTCTGACAAACTGTAACAGTTTGACAAAGTCTGACAAATTGTAAGTTTGACAAAGTCTGACAAATTGTAACAGTCTGACAAACTGTAACAGTTTGACAAAGTCTGACAAATTGTAAGTTTGACAAAGTCTGACAAATTGTAACAGTCTGACAAACTGTAACAGTTTGACAAAGTCTGACAAATTGTAAGTTTGACAAAGTCTGACAAATTGTAACAGTCTGACAAATTGTAACAGTTTGACAAAGTCTGACAAATTGTAAGTTTGACAAAGTCTGACAAATTGTAACAGTCTGACAAACTGTAACAGTTTGACAAAGTCTGACAAATTGCAACAGTCTGAACATATCAATAATTTCCACCCAAACAAATCATTAATTCAGTAGTTGATAGAGTAGATATCTCGTTTAAGCAGCAAATATTGTGTGTCAGGAAACAAAAACATTCTGCAAGGGAAAAATTTCGACTAGTCTCACATAAAATATGTTACATCCTGCTAGCAAACCAAGCTGAACTGCTTAATTACAGTAAGTTTGAAAACAAGAGATCATTTTGACAAAGATGACCTACAAATGGGCATTAAGAGACAGGCCTCAGCACATTGCTATAATTGGATGGATTTCTCATGTTTCTCTTATACATTCTATATAAGTATGGTTGCCATTTTAGTTGGACATTATTTTTAATTACAAAAAATAGTATCATATAATAAAATTAATCAGCAAAGGAAAAGTTGGCCAGAGACACAAACAAGAAACGATGAAGACTTTAGCAATCATTGCTACAGCTAGACAGCTTATAAAATTCAGTATAGTAACATAAAGAATTTACTTTTGAAAACAAAATTATAAAGTTTCCTCAAACATAATTTCAGTCTACATACAAGTGTTCATGATTTCTTTGTTGAGTTGAGGCCCATTTAGATTCTTCGCTGATCGTATAATCTCAGCAGTGCAACACACCTAACAATACACATTATACATCCAAATAAATCATAGTGATATTTGTAAGTTACAGTGAAGAACCATAGGCCAAAAGCTAAATTGAGGACACATCTACAGGAACTTTTCACAGCTATAACCAGGCACTGGCAATGCTTTGTCTTCAGACCAGACTAAACCCCAACCCCACTGACTCACACCTTAAGTCAAGGCAGTATTCTACAGCTTCTGCACCAAAACTAAGCCCTAACAGTAGAATCAAAAATCTTTCCCTCACCAAGTCGCCATTGGATGGAAGATTCTGCCCTAAACCAGACCCACAGTGGATTCAACAATGACCCTAGATCTGGCCTCAATGTGTTCTTTCCTCCAGATCAGGTTTGGCAGGGTTTTGCTCCCTTCTGACTCTAGATATGCCCAAAGCAGTGAAAGCTGCATCATTTCAAATGCTGTGTAATTGGTCTTTTTACCATCATGTCATTAGTGAACTTAAAAAGATTAATGTTGTTTTATCTTGGTGGGAGTATCTTTCATTTACACAAGCTGAGAACGCTCCACTGACAATGTAATAATTAAAGCCACTTTTCAAATCCTAAAAATTTTTCTTGAATAGTAGTCTTAAAGGAAAAGTATCAAGTAATGATATGCAACAGTATATATCCACAAAGCCATGTGGGCCAAATATAAAACAAACAAATTGCACAAGCTCCAATGAATCAGGGTGATTTTTTTTTTTGTCTGGCTACACTACGTATTGATTTTATAACTATGCTTTTGACACTGCTGTTAGAGAACAGATTAGCTTTAAAGCTTGTATCTCTAACTGCAGATAGTTATGACAGAAGTTGTTATAAATACATGAACTGACTTCATGACTGATAATATTTACAGCAAACACAAGTCACCTTATACTTGACGATTACTGTTTGTCAGGTGTATGGATTATTGGATAAATGGCAGTGAATGACGAGAGTATGACATCACTAAGAGAAATAACATATATCACACATTCTACAATAGAAGTTATGTTTAACACTGGATTATCAAATAGACAAGGCTTGCTATGTAATGCCCACCCCACGAAAAATTATACCTGCACAAGTATAAAATCCCAGCCAAAATTTGTGTTACACTGCCAGTCAGGCAAACTTTCAATACATTTGACAAGTAAGAACACATTCAACATGATTAATAAATGTATCATATGACAGATGGGATACATGACACAGCTTCCAAAATGTTGGTAAAAGTTGTTACCTTGTACAGTTATCTCCCCTTTGTAATGTACTCCATCATTTCGCCCTATATATGTTTGTCATTTCCTGCCTTTACATAAAATAAATTCTGCCTTTGTTGTGGCTACAAACAATAAAACTGTGTGAATGAAAACAGAATGAAAACATCTGTTGATGTATTGATCGAGAAACTTCATACAAATGACAAATCATATGTTCCTCAACATCATATATGCACGCTGCAGGGTAGTGAAATCTACTGTTTCTGACAAAAATACGAGCAAGTCTAGCTCTATTGATCTAGCTATCACCCCTTCTACATAGATATGTATAGAATTGGTAGTTTCTCGAGTCACAGCTTTCCCCTAAAGGCAGACTAAACTCAATCCTGTATCCCTCAAATTTTAAATTCATCATTTAAAAACCAGTGAATAGTTTCTTATTCTTCAATATGAAAACACTTTCACAGAACTGATATTTTAAAAAGTTGAATGTGATATTCTAAAACAATGTGTTATAATTTGGCTGGACAGGATTTAAATCTATTTGTTAGCAGCACACATATCACATGATCATTTCACCCGCATATACCCTCAACAGTGACTGACCACTGTCTCCATAGCAACCAAATCACCGGTCACCTTGACAACCAACATCTAAAAATATCAGCTGAAACTTTCTGGATAAAACATTAAATAACCACCCTGAAATTAAATGGTAATATATCCTCCATCCATTGTTTATGTACACACTTTTGATTATGGAATAAGACAAGTTCTGTAACATTTGCATAATTCTTAAGACATGGACATCATTGGTCACAAAGGTATAACATTGGGCATGCTTACACACATCAACATTAACAACATCATTCAGGTCCTCTCTCAGTTTGTATTCACTCTCGTTTATAAAGACAACAGCAAACATTTATGCAACCTTGATTATATGAGAAGCTCTTCAATTTGAAGGTCAACTCTGACCATGAGAGCAGTCCGTATATATTGATATGACAACACTGATCAGTGGAGATGACTAGCTAGAAATATACTGTGTGTAAATGATTATTACAAAAATGTGTTTGTTAACCATCAAACTTAAATTTCTACAATATATATCTACACTAAACACACATTCTGACATGAATACTGTATGTTGGCTATATACCCTGTGGCAATTATTGAGAAGGTTTGTACCAAAAAAATCTAGTATTAAGGGAACAGGTTATCATAACAACAGTTATAATTACATATATAAGTTCAGTTCCCAGTTCCTTTGTTGATCAGAAGAATTCCTCTGTCAATGTATCCATTTTGAAAGATGATAAAATTATAACTTGATGCAAGCAACACATGTAAATTGTCAGGCATACAGTTTGATCTTAATTACTTTTATATGACACTGAAAATTTATTTCAAAACATAATTAGATGGTACCTTTCACCTCAAACTACCCAGTCCAATGATAATTTTATCAAACTTACTAAAAAGCAAGCTTTTATCTCCCTTTTTCTATCAACTGAAGCAAGCTTGGCTTACTCCACTTAAATATGGAAATAAGGGAGTATCTATCTATCTATCTAAAAGCAGTTCCAGCCATCCAGCAAAGCGAAACCAGTTCGTAACAGCTAAAAAAAAGTCATAAATAGGTGAAAAGGTAACATAAAGATTAAAATGAACAAGAATCACCATAATAAATTAATTCAATAAATTTACTAATATCACGGTAAAATCTGGACAAAGACATACAATAACTTCAACCTCTCTCACTTTCCAACACTCACAAGGACAATTTAACATGAAGGGAGGTAACCCTCATATAATAATGTTTTCCAGACTTTTCAAACATGAAAATATCTTGCAATCAACATTAAAATCTGGTAATCTACAAACAAATAAACAAAAAGAAATAATTATCATTTCATTCAAACATCATTGACAAATAATATCATTAACATATACATATAATAAAAAAAATCGAGCTGTGCTGTGCAGTCACATTTCCCAGAAACATCCAGCTGGAGTTTGTAAGCTAAAGGAGTATACACCTAGTTTTACTGTTTGAGGACACCATAAAACAACACTTGTGAAAGTTACACATATTTGTACTGTTGTTTCTCATGTGTTTAGACCAAGGGAGATTATAATTACAAACATGTACAGCTTACTCACTGTCACTGTATGTATATACAAACACTACTACTGCTATGCTTCTATTCTCCAGTACATCTCCTCATCAGCTCTACAATTACCATGGCTACCAAAATTTGACCACATGACTATATCACCTTCATGGTATTCTAACTATTTGTTTCTTAGCAACCAAATAAAATGTGTATCTAATTAACTCTAGTGAACTGAAGTAATATATTATACTAATCCTTCAAATACATTGTTGTAGTATGAATACCGTTGATGACCTGTCTTTCCTGACCTTTGACCCTTCGTACAATGTATGGACAGCTGTGAAACAATGGAAAAGTACTGGAATGAACACATGGCAAAAGAAGGTCAAGGTCACTCTCATCTGGGTCAAAGGTCATTACAATAAATGATGATGATAATTGATAATAAGATGTGTTTCATTTGACAAATCTATGAAATGTTTGTGTAATACCTAGTTGATATGTTTTATAGACATGGTATAAGCCTTCAAATGACCATGAAAATAATACACTATCTTGTGTACAATGTGATTCATAACTCAAGTAAAGAACAATCTTTGGTTTAAGCAATTTCAAACAATAATCCTCCCATGTGATCTAATTATGTTTAAAACAGCTCACTACATGACAATACACATTCCATGTGTCTCTAGTTGGCAAAACAAATACAATGTGATTGATAAATGTACACAGACTCTTGCTCAGTTTTCCCCTGAAACAAGACTTTGCTTGATTTTGATTAACAAGCTTTTACTTGCCCTTGATTGACAAGCTTCCCCTTGCTCTTGATTGATAATTTTGAATGACTGTGTATGTTAATGATATATGTATGATATCTGATGTGGTAAATTCTTCTCACTGATGTACAGTAGTTGGAAGCAAAAATTTGTATTGAACCATATTATTGAGAAAGGAGATCTGATTTCTGGAGTACAAATTGTCGCAGAAGTTGAAGCTAGGTCCATCAGAGAGTTGTGATGGAAATAGTGGGGTACATGTATAATGTAGTATCAAGTAGTCCCCAGTACTATACATGTGTACATCGGTACGGGTAAATGGTTACAATAGAGGGTATGTAACACACTGTCCATGATGACATCACAGTACTTCAACGTTGATTATATGGTGATGTTACCCACCAACAACTGTCAGATTGCTGACGAATATTAACTTTCACAGGTAGCACTCAGTTTTGTTCATTAAACTTATTGCATTAATCAGCACCTTACATCTATAGACACGTCCTCCAGGATGGTTTACTGTGGGATGAGTGGACCATCTGCCATTGGTGTGTCCACTAATTGTCTTGTGATGGCTTATACAGGACATGTGATTAAAGATTAGTTGTCTCAAGTGCAGAAAATACAGCAAGGTTGTGATGGTACACTAATGTAGAAGTGTAGAACTATGATACTGCACTGGGTTTTAATTACCACACTCTGTTTTACTCAACACAAGTACTTTACCACACTCTGTTGTACTTGGCACAAGTAACCACTCTTATACTCGACCCAAGTAAGTTACCACACTATGTTATACTAAAAAACAAGTAGGTGGGTTACCACACTCAGTTGTACTGAGCATAAGTAGGTTACCACACTCAGTTGTACTAAACATAAGTAGGTTACCACACTCAGTTGTATTCAATATAACCAAGTTACTGAGGTCACTTCCAGCAAGACACTTTACTATCCACAATGTCTGTCTACTTTAAAATAGATCAACTTTCCTCTTCAGATCATTTCGTTTCCACTCTGCCAGGCGGGAGAACTCTTCTTTGTTCATTTTGAATAATTCTTCGAAATCTTCTTGTACTAGATGTATCTAAAAATAGCGCAATAATTCATTATTATTATTATTATCTAAGAACAATCATGACAATGGAAAACAAATATCTCATCAAAGTAAACAATTCTGTTGTTTTATATTTATATTGATGTGTCTTTCAATGGAAGGGAACAAATTTTACTCAAAAGTCCAATATCTATGAAACAATTTAATGAAAGTATAACTAACAGCTGCATGTATTATTCAAAACATAAGTATTTTGCCATTAAAACCAAGATGGAAACTATGAAGCACGTGATATGTGTTCAAAACCTAGACTTGGCATCAGACTGAAAGATTAAAAATATTGGAACAAGTCATGAATGTTTAAGTGAAAGTTGTGTACTTGAAGAGGAGAAGAAGGACAGTTGAAGACAGATTTCCATATACACAATCTTACCTCCAGCATGTTTCTATCTGTGTCTTTTGGCAGATCAAAGTTAGAAATCTTTAACTTTTCATACGGGTATGTCTGAAAATTCAATCAAATGAATCATCAAACAGTATTATAGAAATATGTAAAGGATGTGGTCTATAGAAGTTTAATGTTGTCAAATTCTTAGTTCCATGTCATAAAATTGTTTTATAATACTCACAAATAAATATTGCCAACATAGAGAAAATCATCTAATTTGATAAATTTGCAGGAGAAACATATCCATGACAGGTTTATTGATATAGATATACTCACAGGAGGCTCTGCTTCAGTGTGCCATGTACTCCTCTGTAAAGTAAGTAGTGACAGTCCTGGTCCCTCGTGTATACTGGAAATATGACTACGGGATCCATGCTGTAACAATAACACTTACATATAAACAGTGCTTTACACTTAATGGCATGACTGTTTATGTCATTTAGTCAAGTTAATATCATCTTTCCTTTTTTCTATAAACTGTTTTCCTCTTAATGTAATATAATCTATCAATGTCACTTGCTTTCATATGCTCTCTTGATAAAATGAACTGGCCTCACAAAAAAGAGCAGCTTATGGAGGAAAAAGCTGCTTTGACAATAATAAAATTTCAAAAGCAATTTTATACTTCTTGATTCACACTTGACCTCAACAACCTTCAAGGTAAATCAAAGTTATTTTTTCTATTGTCTTTTTTTTAGAATTTTGTACATAACATTACTCTATGAATTAGATCTTGCCAAATCCATGACCCTAGTCTTTCTGGAGTAGGTCCAGGTGATTTAAAATCTGTTAGCCTTACTCAGGGACCTTACACTTTTACTTACATCTGTGTTCACTGTGGATGTGGAAGTGTCTGGAACAATGCAAAAAAAAAAAAAAAAATTATTGACTATATTTCGACTTTTTTACCTCAAACTTTTTACCCTTACAAATGAATTCTTTGAATTTTTCTGTAGAAATGTGTGCAAAAAATATTTTTGGTACTTTACAAATGAATTTTGAAATAAAAAAAACACATTCAAAATAATTCTTTAAAATGGAAATATTCTTCAGCGAACATGTTCTTGTAATTCCTACTATAAAAAAAAATGGCAACACTTTCAAACTGATGGCTCTAGAATATTATAATTAACGCTTTACATACACCACTTTCAAACTGATGGCTATAGAATATTATAATTAACGCTTTACATACAACACTTTCAAACTGATGGCTCTAGAATATTATAATTAACGCTTTACATACACCACTTTCAAACTGATGGCTATAGAATATTATAATTAACGCTTTACATACAACACTTTCAAACTGATGGCTATAGAATGTTATGATTAATGTTTTACATAACAACGCTTTCAAATTGATGGCTATAGAATATTATAATTAATGTTTTACATACAACACTTTCAAACTGATGGCTATAGAATATTATAATTAACGTTTTACATAACAACACTTTCAAACTGATGGCTATAGAATATTATAATTAACGTTTTACATAACAACACTTTCAAACTGATGGCTATAGAATATTATAATTAACGTTTTACATACAACACTTTCAAACTGATGGCTAACACTTTCAAACTGATGGCTATAGAATATTATAATTAACGTTTTACATACAATACTTACAAGCTGATGGCCGGTGCCTAGTAATATCCGAGTCATCAAAGTCGAAATAGTGCTGGAATATAGATATGTAAACATATATTACCTGACAGACCAATATTAGTAAAAAGGGACACAAAGAAATAATGTATGTAATGAATATTGATCAGAATATACGTAGAAATGATGTTGAAAGATGTATGAGTCTGCGTTCATTGCAGACCATTCTGTAGTCAAAAAGTTTGATTTCATTAAGTTACAACAAAAAGTAGGTGACAAATAGATACATTTAAATAAACTTGTATAACCGCCATAGGTCTGAACAAATCAAAATTCCATTTTACTGAGACATGTATATATAATTGACTTTTATCATAAGTTCTATTTATTATTTACAATTCCCCAAGGTTTCCAATCTACCTCAGTAAGAAAAGGGGTTCGCTTCTTTAAGCTATTTGTAAGTAGGATTGTTTAACAAAGCTGTACCCGTCCAGTGTTGACAACCTCTTGTCATCTATTATCAGACCATAGTTCTTCACAGTCAAGGGTGACATGAGGGTTTTAAGGTCAGCAAGGGAAAGGATTTTGTATAGTTATCACATCTGTATCTATTTAGATGAGGTTCCATTTTATGTTCCAACATTATTTTGATCCAAAGATTGATTCTGAATTTTTCAAATACTGACAAAGAAAGGAAACATCACGTGATTCTAGCGATTATCACAGTTAGAGCAGGTCATGATATGGTCAATATCAGGCTGACCTGATATAATCATACAGAGTTGGTGACAAAGCCCATCTCAGGGAATATACAGGGACTGACTTACATAGTTGTTGTAGTTATAGAAAACCCCACCATACAAGCCAGACAGGGGGAGGGTAGCGGCCCGTGGGGTCAGGCCATACGATCCATAACCAGGCTTTGGCACTACAATATAAAATCATCACATTTTACTTGGAGTACATTGTGCTTCTAATGAACTTCAGTAGTACATTGTGCTTCTAATAAACTTCAGTAGTACATTGTGCTTCTAATGAACTTCAGTAGTACATTGTGCTTCTAATAAACTTCAGTAGTACATTGTGTTTCTAATGAACTTCAGTGGTACATTGTGCTTCTAATGAACTTCAGTAGTACATTGTGCTTCTAATGAACTTCAGTAGTACATTGTGCTTCTAATGGACTTCAGTAGTACATTGTGCTTCTAATAAACTTCAGTAGTACATTGTGCTTCTAATGAACTTCAGTAGTACATTGTGCTTCTAATGAACTTCAGTAGTACATTGTGCTTCTAATAAACTTCAGTAGTGCATTGTGCTTCTAATAAACTTCAGTAGTACATTGTGCTTCTAATAAACTTCAGTAGGGCATTGTGCTTCTAATAAACTTCAGTAGTACATTGTGCTTCTAATGAACTTCAGTGGTACATTGTGCTTCTAATAAACTGCAGTAGGGCATTGTGCTTCTAATAAACTTCAGTAGTACATTGTGCTTCTAATAAACTTCAGTAGTGCATTGTGCTTCTAATAAACTTCAGTAGTGCATTGTGCTTCTAATAAACTTCAGTAGTACATTGTGCTTCTAATAAACTTCAGTAGTGCATTATGCTTCTAATAAACTTCAGTAGTACATTGTGCTTCTAATAAACTTCAGTAGTGCATTGTGCTTCTAATAAACTTCAGTAGTACATTGTGCTTCTAATAAACTTCAGTAGTACACTGATAGTCTCCCTTTACATACAAACCATACTCAGTACAACTAGATTAAATATAAAGTGATTTACATAAAAATCAAACAGACAGATCTCCTAGTACACTGATAGTCTCCCTTTACATACAAACCATACTCAGTAAAACTAGACTAAATATATAGTGATTTAAGTAAAGTAATTTGTAATAAATTCAAGTATGTTAAGTCTGTATGTATATATAAAATCATTCAATATCTTACAAGCACTCTACTGACCTGGATAGTTAGCCATAGTGGAGATGGTTCTGTAGCCTCGTCGGAGGTCACTGTCATCCCAAGACCTCCGTGGCCGGTCAAGGAATCTGGAGGGAGCTATAATAGATAGTAATGTCAATATGTAGGACAACAAAAACTTAAAAATAATAACATCACAATCCTCTATATACACATTACAAAATAATTCAAAATGAATTCAGCATTGTAGATATGATTGGTTAGATTTATATGCTGTGTTGTCCAATCAAAGTTGCTAATTGTCATTAAGATGGTAGGTTCATCATACAAAGCAACTTGATATTAACTGTCAAAATGATTGTAATATACATTACAATGGTCAGAATGCACACATTAGGCAATGCATGAATGAATTTTCTTGTTTTTAAGACTTACATGCGAACATAGGTGACTGGTAGCGAGTGACATATTTGGGCTCGTATTTGGCATTAGGGGCACGCGAAGACTTCCATGGATCCAGTGCCTTCACTGGCATCACTCGCCTTTCCTCCAGCTCCTTGTATATGATGGATCCGATTCCAGATGTGTCCTTCAACTTTGACAGTTCGTCAATTTCTTTCTGGATCTTTGGATCCTCAACCACTTCTTCCTCGTCATCATCCTCCACTTCCCCTCGACTCTTTCGCCTCGCCCTCACTGTAAAAACAAGTTTATCACATCCATTACAGATTACAATAACATTTTACATTTTTCGTTTTTATCTAATCTTGATTACTGTATCAAATTTTTTATATCTAAACAATCTGGTAGAATACATCAAGTTTGACAGAATCACTACCAAATAAGGTATCTCAGTAACTGAACAGGAGAGCCAGTTACATCCAGAATGTTTACAATGTATCAGTTATATATAGCAATTGATCACTCTAATGGTTTATTACTGGTACAGGAATATTTGTGATACACTATGCTGAATTCAAAATACATAGTTACAATGCAATTGTGACAAACAATTCATTTTTTAAGAATTTCTTACTTACAGTTTTACAAAAATTTCTTGTCCAATCAAATAATCAATTTGTTTTAAAAAGAGGTAACCCTTGATGCTGAAGTTATACAAAGTTATATTTCTGGTAGATTGTTTGATATTTTAACTACACATTAAGGAAAAAGTATTTCATGTACATAGACGAAGCTCACAGTGCTGTGGAAACAGATGTTTTAGGTGTCCTCTAGTTCCTGGCCTCCACAATTCTCTCAACTCTTTGATAAACCTACTGTCTAATTATTGAAAATACCACTTGTTATTTTGAAGACCTTTATCATGTTCCATCTGATTCGTAACTATGGTGTTACAGTACACTCTAAGCCTTATATACATCCTGAGAAAAAGTAGTAATTCTTCTTAATCCTATTTCACCTATCACTTAAAACTTCTAGAGATTTTTTTGAGCCCTTACTTATTATCATTGATATCAGATGGCAACAGCATATGTTCTCACATCGTAAACAAATAAAATAAACATTGAGAAATAAGAAATGTTGCAATTTTTTGTTTGTTGGCATTTTTTTCTTATAATTGGCATTGGGGGTAATAGTTGGGTGGTTGATATGAAAATAAAAGTGACAGTCTACAAACACAAATTAACAATATTCTGAGCTAGAAATATCTATTTAAATCTCTGAAGGATTTTTAATCTATCATTAGGATATGTTATCCTGGTCCCCTTGCTGCCCCCTTGTGTAACACAGCTTCTGTCTAAATTGTTATCTATAGGGTGACAGTGTACCGTATTTGCGAGTGCTGCCTAGTTATCTCCCCTATAGGTTATGATGCACAGTGTGCAGCACCATCAAACATATGCTGCATTTACATAAGTCTAGAGACTCTTGTCACGTGAGGGGGCGTAACTCTCCTCCCTCTCGTCTCTCACTGGAATCAATAGATAACAAAAGCATTTCTAGTCAATACTATTACATAATACACATATGGTCCAATGCATGGCATTTTATAACAATCTATTTTTTATATTATAGATTTTTGGGAGATGCAGTATTTGTAAAAGGTTCCAGATTCTCACATCCTATCTCTGTATCAGTGAATGTGGGCTGCAGGAAGGACACATTCTGAATGGGTGTGTTGATACATAAAAAAATCATTATTTTTACCTTTGCCAAAACAACACTTTAACATCAATATATATTATTGCTTGCACAAGCTCCTGCAGGCAGTATCATATCAATATATCATACCAGCTCCTGTCAGCAGTATTGTATCAGCATATCTCTACAGCTTCTGTCTGCAGTATAACATCAGTAAGTCTCTACAGCTCCTGTCAGCTACAGCTCCTGTCAGCAGTATTGTATCAGTATATCTCTACAGCTTCTGTCAGCAGTATAACATCAGTAAATCTCTACAGCTCCTGTCAGCAGTATTGTATCAGTATATTTCTACAGCTCCTGTCAGCAGTATTGTATCAGTATATTTCTACAGCTCCTGTCAGCAGTATCATATCAGTATCTCTACAGCTTCTGTCAGCAGTATTGTATCAATATATCTCTACAGCATATGTCAGCAGTATTGTATCAGTATATCTCTACAGCTTCTGTCTGCAGTATAACATCAGTATATCTCTACAGCTCCTGTCAGCAGTATTGTATCAGTATATTTCTACAGCTTCTGTCAGCAGTATTGTATCAGTATATCTCTACAGCTCCTGTCAGCAGTATTGTATCAGTATATTTCTACAACTCCTGTCAGCAGTATTGTATCAGTATATTTCTACAGCATATGTCAGCAGTATAACATCAGTAAATCTCTACAGCTTCTGTCAGCAGTATTGTATCAGTATATCTCTATAGCTTCTGTCAGCAGTATTGTATCAGTATCTCTATACAGCTTCTGTCAGCAGTATTGTATCAGTATATTTCTACAGCTCCTGTCAGCAGTATTGTATCAGTATATCACTACAGCTTCAGTCAGCAGTATAACATCAGTAAATCTCTACAGCTCCTGTCAGCAGTATTATATCAATATCTCTACAGCTTCTGTCAGCAGTATTGTATCAGTATATCTCTACAGCTTCTGTCAGCAGTATTGTATCAGTATATCTCTACAGCTTCTGTCAGCATTATTGTATCAGTATACCTCTACAGCTTCTGTCAGCAGTATTGTATCAGTATATCTCTACAGCTAATGTCAGCAGTATTGTATCAGTATATCTCTATAGCTTCTGTCAGCAGTATTGTATCAGTATATCTCTACAGCATATGTCAGCAGTATTGTATCAGTATATCTCTACAGCTTCTGTCAGCAGTATTGTATCAGTATACCTCTACAGCTTCTGTCAGCAGTATTGTATCAGTATATCTCTACAGCTTCTGTCAGCAGTATTGTATCAGTACATCTCTACAGCTTCTGTCAGCAGTATTGTATCAGCAGTATTGTGTCAGTACACACCTATGAAAAGATGTTAATTGTACTATGGAAGTTTCTAGAGACCACTTTTAAGGTCACTAAAGTATAAGGTACTCCAGGAGTATTCCTGACAGGGTTTTAGACAGGATCACCTCCTTTTTACTGTGTCAACCTGCTGATTTGCTGTTTAACAGTAGTACATAGATTTTTCTGTCACTACACTTACTTAGTTCAGGCAATATTGCCGCGGGAGATGGGGGACCAGGCCAGTCCTCTCGTTCTATCTTTGTCACTTCATTCGGTTTTGGAGGTTTTGCCGCAGGGAACATACTCATTCGGACAGCTTCTTCATTTCTCAGGTCACCCGGTGACGAAGCACGTCGGGTACGCTTCACCACCACCTTGGTACCAGTGGCTGTAAAAGTCAAATTACAAAAATAATCTACCCTGTAAATTACTACACTAGATCCAGGGAAGTGAAGATAAAAATCTACTTTAAAAGTACCACTTGGTTTATATATACACATGATCCACGTCAGCAATCAGAACAAACAGAGTTTTCACTGCAAAGATATTGAAATAACCATACAAGATCCAAGTTGATAGGAAAAGTACTTTCAAGAATCTAACAATAACATTTCAATCAATTTCAGTAAATAAAATGTTTTATCAAACCACTGATGTTGACATACAACTGTAGACCAGTGCTGATAACATGTCATTATGAGCAACTGATACTGGGTCAATAATTACTCAAGATCTGCTGTTACTTACCTAACTGTGCCATACCACCTGTTCAAAGATCAAAAATAACCTCAATCTTGATATAAGGATTTCATGTAACATTCAAATTTCAATTTCTTCTAATTTGGAATTTAATAAAATAAAGTTATCAAATAATACAATTAATGTCACTTGTCAAGAACTACATATGTCATATCAGATATCTACAGAAGAAACCCTACAAAAGTAACCATCTGTATATAGTAATGTTTGCAATGAGACACTCCACCAAACCAGGATGAACTCATTTGCAATTATAGACAGTTGTAAGTATAATAAATAACATGACAGACAGCTAGAGGATGTCTCCTATCCTTATAAGTATATAACCCCTTCCCATAGAATATATGCCCTCTATGCATTGTTCAGATATCCCTTCCCATAGAATATATGCCCTCTATGCATTGTTCAGATATCCCTTCCCATAAAATATATGCCCTCTAGGCATTGTTCAGATATCCCTTCCTATAGAATATATGCCCTCTAGGCATTGTTCAGATATCCCTTCCCATAGAATATATGCCCTCAAGGCATTGTTCAGATATCCCTTCCCATAGAATATATGCCCTCTAGGCATTGTTCAGATATCCCTTCCCATAGAATATATGCCCTCTAGGCATTGTTCAGATATCCCTTCCCATAGAATATATGCCCTCTAGGCATTGTTCAGATATCCCTTCCCATAGAATATATGCCCTCTAGGCATTGTTCAGATATCCCTTCCCATGGATTGTATGCCCCCTACTTTTATTATATAATTCCGTACCCTTCCTTTCTATTGATGTTTTTCTCTCTACACAAGTAAGAGCTCTAGATATAGAACTTTTACTCTCTACACAAATAAGAGCTCTAGATATAGAACTTTTACTCTCTACACAAGTAAGAGCTCTAGATATAGAACTTTTACTCTCCACACAAGTAAGAGCTCTAGATTCAGAACTTTTACTCTCTACACAAATAAGAGCTCTAGATTCAGAACTTTTACTCTCTACACAGGTATTAGCTCTAGATTCAGAACTTTTACTCTCTATAAAGGTATTAGCTCTAGATTCAGAAGAGCTCTAGATTCAGAACTTTTACTCTCTACACAAGTAAGAGCTCTAGATTCAGAACTTTTACTCTCTACACAGGTAAGAGCTCTAGATTCAGAACTTTTACTCTCTACACAAGTAAGAGCTCTAGATTCAGAACTTTTACTCTCTACACAAATAAGAGCTCTAGATTCAGAACTTTTACTCTCTACACAAGTAAGAGCTCTAGATTCAGAACTTTTACTCTCTACACAAATAAGAGCTCTAGATTCAGAACTTTTACTCTCTACACAAATAAGAGCTCTAGATTCAGAACTTTTACTCTCTACACAGGTATTAGCTCTAGATTCAGAACTTTTACTCTCTATAAAGGTATTAGCTCTAGATATAGAACTTTTACTCTCTACACAAGTAAGAGCTCTAGATTCAGAACTTTTACTCTCTACACAAGTAAGAGCTCTAGATTCAGAACTTTTACTCTCTACACAGGTATTAGCTCTAGAACTTAATGCCATCATGAACTACTTACTTTTTTTGCAGTTTTTGAGGAAATCAGGAGCCTCTTTTGAATATGAAAAGTTTACTACAAGAGAAAGAAAAGGCATACATACATTTTCCACTTACAAAACATACATAATAACATACAGACTAACACAAGTGCTTAAATTCAGGTCTGAAATCTAACTCGAAATCCTATTGAGTAACAAACCACAGAGCCTGAATACTAACTTGTGACAGGAACAGTTTGTGTCACTAAGCTACAACCCGTCTGACCAATCACAAACTTCCTTACTTAGAGACTATCTAAATAATGAGAGACTTCTTTGTATAGAGACTATCTGACTTATCTTAAACCTCCTGGCCTGGAGTCCAACTGACCTATCTTAAACCTCCTGGCCTGGAGTCCAACTGACCTATCTTAAACCTCCTGGCCTGGAGTCCAACTGACCTATCTGAAACCTCCTGGCCTGGAGTCCAACTGACCTAACTGTAACCTCCTGGCCTGGAGTCCAACTGACCTAACTGTAACCTCCTGGCCTGGAGTCCAACTGACCTAACTGTAACCTCCTGGCCTGGAGTCCAATTGACCTATCTGAAACCTCCTGGCCTGGAGTCCAACTGACCAGTGAAAATTGAAAAATTCATCAGTTAAAACAATGTGGAATGTGATAAGTTACCTGGTCTGTGGAAGTGAGGTGATTTGTGGTGAGACTTGGGGGTGGGGTTAAGTGGGGCTCGTTTCATATAGTTCTGCTTTCCTTTTTCTAAGTAACTGGAGGTGTAGAATCTGCCATAGTTGACCTCTGACCTTCTGTCCAGAGAATCCTGAAATAAAACGGATCAATACAGCAAAAATATTGAGCAAGGTTGTATTTACATTTGTTCCAGAATCTGTTCTGGGCAATTCTGTCAAGCCATATCAGATACAAGTCTACATGGATAATGAGTGGTTTTATTTTGGATACTGAATGGTTTCATTTTCATGTAATTCAGAAGTAACTAAAAAGACTTGTTATAAGTTTTGAACATTCCTTTTACATTTCCAAAATGCCATGACTTAACATGCATGTTTACATGGCACAAAAACAACCGTTACTTCTAAAATCTGGCTTGATTGTGAAACAATAGTAATTATGATAGTAGTTGATATATATCTATTGACATATATTGTAAAGATAACATGGCGCCAACTTGTACAGGGAAGTGCTCTATTTACAAGAAAACTAAAAGCAGATTAGATTGCATTTATTTGGATTTTAATTTGATTATAATTCCTTAGATAATTGTATATATAAACTTTTATATATAAAATTTTCCAATATCTGCTATCAGCTTATATTAATCACTCTTGTTGGCCCCAATGGAAGTGTGAGGGGGGCCTTTCTGTGGGTGGAATACCCTGGGGATCATTCTGTGGGTGGAATACCCTGGGGATCATCTATACCTTTTCATGTTTGTTCTTGAAATCAAACCCCTCACGGCCAGGTGAAGGAGAGTACCTTATCACAAAGCCATCTGACCACCGATAATTACTGATACAGGTAATATTGAGACAGAAATGAAGACATAATTAACGACGTCTACCTGCATCAGCCATACCAGTTAGTATACAGGGGAAATCAATGTTTAACAGAAAGGTAAAACTGCTTTTTCATAATTGATACATTCTTTTGATTTTACATATAATAATATTTCACTGAGTCATCTGTTTTTGACCTAGTGTAAATCTCAACTTTGTCTGAAAGTCGCCTTAGCTGACCTACCGCAAATTCTCACAGCTGTCACTTCACCCATAGGATTGACCTAATGAAACCTCTCACAGCTGTCACCACATCTATAGGACTGACCTACTTTAACCTCTCACAGCTGTCACCACATCTATAGGACTGACCTACTGTAACCTCTCACAGCTGTCACCACATCTATAGGACTGACCTACTGTAACCTCTCACAGCTGTCACCACATCTATAGGACTGACCTACTTTAACCTCCCACACTGTCACCACATCTATAGGATTGACCTAATGTAACCTCTCACAGTTGTCACCACATCTATAGGACTGACCTACTGTAACCTCCCACACTGTCACCACATCTATAGGATTGACCTAATGTAACCTCTCACAGTTGTCACCACATCTATGGGACTGACCTACTGTAACCTCCCACACTGTCACCACATCTATAGGATTGACCTAATGTAACCTCTCACAGTTGTCACCACATCTATGGGACTGACCTACTGTAACCTCCCACAGTTGTCACCACATCTATAGGACTGACCTACTGTAACCTCTCACACCTGTCACCACATCTATGGGACTGACCTACTGTAACCTCTCACACCTGTCACCACATCTATGGGACTGACCTACTTTAACCTCTCACAGCTGTCACCACATCTAATAGGACTGACCTACTTTAACCTCTCACAGCTGTCACCACATCTATGGGAATGACCTACTTTAACCTCTCACAGTTGTAACCACATCTATAGGACTGACCTACTGTAACCTCTCACACCTGTCACCACATCTACAGGACTGACCTACTTAAACCTCTCACAGCTGTCACCACATCTATAGGACTGACCTACTGTAACCTCCAACACTGTCACCATATCTAAAGGACTGACATCCCGTAAATTCTCGCAGCTGTCACAAAGTTATAATACTTCTAAGACTGATACCTGTATCACCTAATTCACCATGTATATAAATAAAGACAGGTAAGGGAAGCTCAATAACACATTATTAAATACTCACCTCATTTTGTACCACCATACTCATTATCATCAATCAGCTGACATACCTTTATCAATGATGTAATGAATATGTACTATACTGAACAACTGTTTAATCAGCCAACAGGATGTGTAATATCTAGTGTATTACTAATCATCATCCTTTAAAGGTATACGTTAACAAAAAACAAGCCACTGTACATAGCCAAACATAACTTGTTTCATCTCATATATGCTTTCTCATTTGTTTGGTTTTTTGGTAGTCGACCAAACTTCCGAGTATCTCCTTTGGAACATGACAATTTTTTGTATTTAAAACTAAACTTATGTTTATACATCAAGTAATTGTTCATAATTAAGTGGCAAAATAACATAAAGCTCATAAAATACAATTATGTTTATTAATCATAAGTACCATGCTGAAGATATCAAAGTCTAGAAATGAATGTTGAAGGGTTTGTTTATGGTTCTGTATATAAGTATTTTACGAAGGTGAGACTTTTATCACCTGTTGTTCAATAGAAAGCATTGTGGTATTATATCGATCAAGATCACAACAACACTTAACTCCATTTAAGATAATATAAGACTTCTATTATGGCAAACATTCTGCTAACTTGTCTACTAAATATTGAACACAAATTCCTAATATAGAATTCATCACTCCGCTGTTTTAGAAAAATAAATATCTATTATCAATCCTTCCTGTGACACTTACTGTGTATAATCAAATTCTTTCACACTGTATACCACTAGCACACCATTCACAAAGTTGAAAATAGCCAAACAGACAATTTCTTGATAAAATCATAACAGGATACAGCCAAATATAACCAGGATCAAAAACAGAAGTCATCTCGGAATGTTATAACCAAACCCTGTTGTTATGTTAACTGGTCAAATCTTGTATCAAACCTTACACCTTCCAACTTTGGACCTAGCAGGTAGTGGCAAGTTTAATGATAAAAGTTAGATTTAATGTCTAACATTCACTTCGAAAGGTCAATTCTCGATTCAAACTCCCCTAAATCCAAAGAAGGACCAGCTGGCAAATTCTATGAAAAAAAAGCCTGGTTGAATAAAGGCAAAATATTTCAGCAGGTACTTTATTCACCTTAACTATCCTTTCAATTCAATCTTAATGCAATAGTACTAGGTAAACTCTCTCACCTTAGCCATTGGACGTAACCCCTAGTCAAACCATTTGACTGTGCCTTCACTGTTGCTCATATTTACACTGTGTGACCCTACTTCTATCATCATCCCTATAAAGAAGGTACATGATGTATTTCTGTATTATTTTTATTGTTCCATCTCATCCCCCTTGTTTGACAGAGATAAGATGATTTAGGCTGAGAGCTAACAGGTGGATCTGTCTAAAACCTAACGCCTCAAGTAATACAAGGAGATCTCAGATCTCTTCACTTCCTGTAATTTTTTTGAAAAGGAATTATTCTATCCACAAACTAAACCATTTCTACAAGTAAACTGTCACCAGGGTCATATTAGTACTACTGTCCAAAACTGGATTATCTTTCCTCATCCATTCGTCTAATTAACAATGTAAATCTAAACAAGTTACAAAACGACCAGCTAATTGTGTGTCAAGAATTTCTTCCATATCAAATGCAAGACATCCAAAAGCAAAGATAGGAGAAGTCACGGACATGTCTATCCTAAAATGTTTAATATAAAAGTCACATTTACGTCAAATCTATGTCGTCCTAATGCTTGACTGGTGAGTGTACAGTATGATGTCATTACAATATCATCCAAAAGCTTGCATTTTTTACAATTTGAGATACATAAACAACTCACTCCAACACCCTACCCCACCCAAACACCTCCCCAACCCCACCGCCACCACCTCCACCACCAACACTACCACACACCTCCATCCTCCAACCCCCATTGTCTATGCGTTATAGAGATTAAATATGAACTACAAATACATTATTTATTTTCCCTTGCGCAACATAACTTAATACAGACCAAGAGTAGCTGGATGGTGTGTATATCTATCACTCAATACTGGTTTGTGAGTTGTGGGTGTAGTGTTTATACAGGCAGTGACACATGTAATGTTCCATGATACTGTGGAATGGGCTGCTAATCTGTTACACAACACAATATAGCTAGGCCATCTCATCTGTCTAGGACCAGCCTCTGGACTACTGCCAGGCTATCAGGTCAAGGTCAACAGGAAGTACTACAAAAAGTGTGCCAAATATTTGAGGCCCAGGTGTCAATGGGGTAAGGGTTGGGGAGTGGGGCTGAATGATTTTAAACTTTCTACCCAAACATTTAGTATAAACATTGATATATTGTCTATGACTATAGGAAATGGGCAGGCTACTGTAATTATGAATAAACACAATGTTTTAGAGATCAAGATGTATTCTCAGCACAGATGCTATCAAATGGGTGTTAAATCATACTGAAACAGTCTTCAACATTTCAACATTTACATCAACGATGTTTGTAGAAACTGCAGTTCCCTGGTCATGCCCGCCACTTCTTTGACACCCTCATCTCCTCCCCTAAATCTTTCTCCCCAGCATATTCAGGTCAACAGAAATAGTTAATTACTCAAGATTCCAGAACTAACTTAAGCATGGAAAATAACTTGATTATACTGAACACAGAACCACTCCATTAGTTTGACCACAGATCCTATTACACATTTCCACATGGACAGACCACATTCCAAACTGATTCTGTGGTCAGCCAATGTTCCCAAAATCCTGGCCAGAGATCAAAGAGTAAGTTTTCTATGACTGACTTCTTTAAGAAACCAAGGTTACCAAAACCCTGAATCTGAAAACAAAGTCCTTACTTACCAAGGACCCTAGGATCTGTAACCCAGGTATCAGGAACCATGACTATGGAATCTGGGGTATCTAGTCCCTACAGTATCCAGTAACCAAGACTCAGTATTAAGAACAAAGAGTATTCTGGATCACGGCTTAGGAACCAATAGTATTTAGTAACAAAGGTTAAGGAACCAATAGTATTCAGGAACCAGGGCTAAGGAACCAATAGTATTCAGGAACAAAGGCCAATAGTATTCAGGAACCAGGG